AGCACCAGGCAGGCGGGGCAGAGCTGGACAGGGGCCTGTGCTGACTCCCCCATGGTCTCCTCCTCAGGGATGCTGGAATATGAGCCAGCCAAGAGGTTTTCCATCCAGCAGATCAGGCAGCACAGGTGAGTGTACCCAGGTGCCTGGCTGAGTGGGGCCTGTATGGGGAGCTGGGTGCTCCAGGCTGTCCTGATGTACCGGCTTCTGTAGCTGGTTCCGGAAGAAGCACCCACCAGCCGAGGAGCCGGTGCCCATCCCACCAAGCTCAGACTGCAAGGACCGGTGGCGCAGTATGACTGTGGTGCCCTACCTGGAGGACCTTCACGGCTGTGCTGACGATGAGGGGGACGAGGACCTCTTTGACATCGAGGACGACATCATCTACACTCAGGACTTCACCATGCCTGGTGAGTCTGGCAGCAATGGTGGTTCATAGCCCAGCCTGGATGTCCCCAACATCCCCAAACCCTCAGGGCAGGCCCACCCATGCCATCACAAGCCCAGGGGCCTGCTGGGGTGCACAGACAGCCGTGGGTGGACTGGCACCCCTTCCCCTACAGGAGCAGGTGGGGCCCTAGAGGGCAGAGGCTGTACAGGCTCTCCCTGTATAAGTTCCACAGACCACACTTCATCCTGAGGGGTCCAGTGGCCCTCCTGACCCTGCCTCCTGCCCTGACGAGTGGCCTTGCTTCCCCAGGTGGCGAGGAGGCGTCTGAGGCAGGGCTTATAGAGGAGCAAAGCACCCAGCAGAGCCAGTGCCCAGACCTTTCTGCAGAGGAAGCTGAGGCCGGGGGCACACAGGAGCTCGAGGAGGAGCTCCATGCTTAGCGTAGCCACCATGCCCGCCTGGGCTGTAGGGGCCAGGCCGAACACCTCCCACGGGCCCACACTGACCCTGTCCGGGTGTCGGAGGGAGGCTGGGCAGTTTTCCTTGTGGCTGGTTGTATTCCCTTGCAACCTTCATGGTTCTGTGATGTTTGGGTACTGGTTCTGCAGTCCCCATCATAAAGGGTTGCCCAATGTGTGTGCGTGTGGGAGGGGGTGATGCTTATGTTCTCTCCCTGGCTGTCAGCCTGATGGTAGGTTTTTGTTTTGTTAAAAATTGATTTTTTGTTTTTAGAGGGAGAGAAGCGTGATTTGTTGTTTCACTTTTTTATGCATTCATTGGTGGGTTTTGGGTTTTTTTTTAAGATTTTATATAGTTATTTTTAGAGAGAGGAGAAGGGAGGGAAAAAGAGAGGGAAAGAAACATCAATGTGCGGTTGCCTCTCACACGCCCCCTATTGGGGACCCGGCCCACAACTGAGGCACGTGCCCTGACTGGGAATCGAACCAGTGACTCTTTGGTTCATAGGCTGACAATGCACTGAGCCACACCAGCCAGGACCATTGGTGGATTCTTGTGTGTGCCCTGACAGGGGATTGGACCCACAGCCTTGGGGTATCAGCATAACACTCTAACCAACTGAGCTACCTGCCAGGGCCGGGTGGTGGGTTTTTATTGTAGATAGAACCAGTGTGCAGCGGTAGCCTGCAGGGTGGGCAGGACCACAGGAGCTGTGTCCCTGGTAGAGCTGGGCAGGGTCCAGATCCTGTGGTTCTGGGGTCTGTGATGCTCATTGTAGCCAGCCACAGGGTCAGCTTAGACCTGGTGCCCTAGGGTCTCAAGTCACTGTGGCTTTGGCTTAGCCATTTTCCTGTGGGGTTGGTCCTGGGGCCTGGAGTGCCTGGAGGCGATACATGCGTGGTGCTCTGGCCTGGGAGACCTGGCTGCAATCCAGTCCTAGATCTAAGGCCTCTTAGACCCTCTGTCCCCTCCTTCCCCTTCACAGAACAGGAATGAGGTGTCCTCCCTCAGAGGCACTGGGACCTGTGACAGGTTACAGGCAGCTGGATGTCATCCTCACTAGCAGCACCTGGGTGTCAGCCACACCAGTAGGCAGTCTGTTGTCCTAGCAAGGCTGAGTGAGGATTCTCACAGGTTCCTGCAGCTGGCACCTAAGCACCCTTCAGGCCTGTGTGAGAGGCCAGGGTGAGGCCAGGGTGGCCTTTCCCCAGTGGGGATTCCCAGTCTGGGAATGTCCTCTGGGCTATGTCAGGCATCCACTTCTTTCTGACCTGCTGCGGGCCAGTGACGGGCTGTACTAGGGCCAAGACCTGTCACACTCAGGGTCACCCTCGGAGGCCCTCAGCTGTCCACACCATGGAGGTCCTGCCACCCACCCTGAGAGGTGAGCCTTGGACCAGCCAGTCGCTGCCTGTACAGTGCCTTGAGGGTGAGTGGGGCAGGTCTCCGATGCTGTGCTGATGGCTGGACTCCAGGTCATCCTTGCAGAGACCTCCTGACATGCTCTGTCTAGCAGGATCCTGTGAGGAGGGGTGAGCTCTGACCTGGGCACACATGGGTGGGTGTGGCAAGTCGGAAGCCACTGGTTGGGCTCTGGACATGCTTGGCAGAGAGGGGGCTCTGCTGGAAAGAGTTGGGGGCCCCAGGCACCTGAGGGCAGTTTCCCACCAATGTCGCAGGAGGGTAGGCCGGGTTTCAGTGTGCACTGGCTGAGCTTCGTGGGCCCCTCCCTGCAGGCCCCCTCTGTCTCAGTGAGTACAGAAGTGAAGCCCCAGGCCCATGGCCCCCAGGACGCCTCGAGGGTGAGGGTGGGGTCATGGTAGGTCTCTGACTCTGATCCCTTCATCCCAATGGGCTTTTTTGGGAGAGACACAGCTGGCCTGAGCCCAACCCCTCCCAGGTCCCCCATGTGCCAGCAAGGTGTGGCCTCGGAACAGATGAGAGGGCTGAGGCTCTCAACCTTGTCCCAGGACCCTGATCCTTAACCAGGTGTCTGGGTCTTGCCCTGGCTGGCTAGCCAGCTTGAGACCAGCTCTCCTTCTACCTGGGTGAGGGCCCCTGCAGACAAGACCTGGGTGGGACAGGTGGGGTCATGCCTGGGGAACTGGGTGACTGTGTGGGGGGTCCAGGGCCCCCATTAGCCTACACTTGTCCTCCCCCTCCTAGGACAAATCCCAGAAGAGGAGGCCAGTCAGAATGGACAGAGCTGGGGCCTGTCCAAGACCATGTGCATGAATGGTACCGATTCGGCGCAGCTGAGCACCAAATCAAGGGCAGAGCGCCGGGCTAGTGCTGTCTCCAACCCTGCCCGCAAGGCCTGTTCTGCCAGTGGCAAGATCCGTCGGCTTTCGGCCTGCAAGCAGCAGTGAGGGCGGTTGGCTGTAGGTGGGCCACAGCGGGGATGGCAGGGGTGGGCAGGAATAAGCATTGCCCGAACTTAGCCAAGTCACCCTTGTGGCCATGGCTGACCAGGTCCAGTTCTGCCCTTTGAAGTCCTGTCAGTTTGTGATCATTGCTACCAGGGTTGGGGGCAGAGGCCACTTCTGTAGGACACCAGCCACTTGGAAAGTGGGTCCCCTGTGCCAGAGGAATGCCAGGGGCAGGGTGGTGGGGAGCGGCAGGGGTCTAGCTGGGGCTATAATTCTGGTTCCTCCTTCCCCTTCCTATCCCTGGCTACCCCAGTTCAGGAAGTGCGGATCAGGCCCCAGAGGTGCTGGAGATCCTGTCACCTGCTCAGGACATGGGCATGGGGTGTAGGCCGGAGGCAGCAGCTGCCCAGCCACGGGGCCCAAGTCCGCAAAGCTTACCCTGGCCTCTTCAGGTGTCTGACAGCCCTGTGGGACTGGGCCTCAAGTTTCCCTGCCCTGTGAGTGGGCCCCAGGGTGGGGATGCCCCCAGAAAATGCAAGCATATTTGCTGGCCTGAAATTGACACACCTTCTGTCCATCTGCAGCCCATCTCTGAGAGTCCTGGCCAGGTGCCATTGGCCCGGGTCCTCCTCAGTCTTCCCGACGACTGCTGGCCCACTGCCCACCATCCAGGAAGGCCACTGCCATACCCTTCGTGCTGACCACCCTTCAGGAAGCCAGGGGGTCCTGGAGGGCTGTGGCTGGGGAACAGCAGAGACTGGGGTCTACCCGCCTCCTCCCAGTTGTGGGCCGTGGACACAACCTCCGGTTGACTTTGCAATCCCGTGCTGGGCCCTTTCCTGGCCAGGGGAGGGTGAGGCCAGGCCATGGGCCCCGCACAGACCTCGCCATGCACTTTACGTTTAGACTACTGGTTCTCGCCCCACTTCTCTTTACTTTGCTACACAGCACCTCCCACACCTAGTAATGTGTTCAAACTGCGGTCAAGTGGGGTGGACTTAAATGGGTAGATGGGCCTGCCCACTGAGACGCATGCCCAGTGCCCTTGGGAGCCAGGTGGCTGCCTTGTTTTTGTTGCTTGGTTGGTTCCTTTTCCTTTTTTTTTTTTTTTAAGAAAAAATAAAACTGGTCAGTTTGAGCTGTGGTTGTGAGGGGTGTTTGGAAATTGTCGGGTGGCAAGATGTGCTATCAGGTGTCATCCGAGTCTGTGCCTGGGGCCCCTCCGTGGGTCCCACAGTGCAGGGGCTGGCCGAGGTATTCAGGTCTCGCTCTCAGTGCATGGAGGTCCTGGGCCTCCATGGGGGTCTTCTGCCACACTGGGTCTCTGTGCTCTTGTACTGGCAACCTTGCCTCTCCAAAGCTGAATAGGCTCTTGGGCTCAGCCCTAAGGTCTACAGCTCCACAGCACAGGGGCCAAGTGTGACGGCAGAATCCTGGCCCTTTTCCCCAAGGCCTCTGCTCCTAGGTCCCCAGAGAAAACTCAGAGCAAACAAGAGTATGCAGTAAATATTTATAGTCAACCAGAAAACAAGAAATTCCATCACTGAATGGTACACAGACTGCAGGAAGCTTGGCGGGGCAGGGCGACTTAGCTGCCCCATTTTTTGGCAATAAATAAAGCTTGGGAAACTTGAAACCTTGGCCATTTGGATTTTGTGGAAGTCTCAAACACTGATGAGTCTCGGGGCTCTTTGGATGTGTGGCTGTGAGGCGGGCAGCCCACTCACATGCGGAGGGCAGTTGCAGATACCCAGAGGGGACTGCAAGGAGTTCTTGTCCAGGCCTGGGGGCAGCAGTGGTGTGGTTATTGCTTGGAGGAGGCTTGGGCTGCAGCAAACACACGCAGTGGTGAGAACGGCTTCCAGTAATTGGCAGCAATGCCGGTGTACTCCACTGATCCTCAGTACACTGCAGTCCGTGTTCCAGCGGGCCTAGAGCATGCACCCTGGTGTGGACTCAGCTCCTGCAGCCCAGATATGCCTCGAGGCTCAGTTGGCCCAGGGAAGGGTATGTTGCGCTTGTGCCTCCTGCGAATGACAGCCTGACACTATCTAGAGGCCACACTGTCTGGGGTAAAAACAGTTGAATATGTTCCTCCAAAGTGCAAAGATGAGAATACGCCTCATTCCCTCCAGATGGGCCACAAGGGCCAGAGTCCTTGTGCCTGGAAGTAACACAGGAATCCAGCTTAGTGACCAACGGGGACTGGGCACATGCGCACTGGGGCAGCGTGGGCATCCAGGGCAGTACACTTGTGCATGAGATCTCAGTGCACACGCACCTGGACCTCGTGCCCCTGGTATGTCCATCTGCAGAGCCCTTGTGCATGTGATAGGAGCTGGAGAGGGGCTCGGGGCTTAGGCAGGACTGTGGTCCGGCGACGTGGGTGCTGCAGTGATTGCAGCCAGTGTGGGGGCTGCACTGACTGGCTGGGCAAGGTGTGGCAGGAAGAGTCTATCCTCGAGGCCAGCTGCCAGCTTGTCCAGCAGTGCCCCTGAGGGCTGGGCACACAGGCCTGATCCAGGGCACCCGCTGCCAGGTTCCTCCTCGATGGCAGGGATGGTGGACACTGGGACAGCCGTCGGTTCTTCACCTGTGCGGCTGTCCGGCGGGCAGTCGACACTGTCACCACGGCGCAAAGGCGCACGTGTGGGGCGGGGGTCGGGCCCGGGCGGTGCAGAATGCATGGCTCGCTCGCCAGGGTCACTGTGTTGCCGGCCACGCTGCTGCCATTGTTTGCGTGCATGGGTGTGCGGGTGTGCGCGTGCTCGATGGCGCGCAGCAGTGGGCGGGGCGTCATCAAAGTGCGGATCATGGCGTAGAAACTCATGGAAGAGCGCATCAGTCTTCTCGTCCACACTGTAGTCCCGGCGCGGTGTGCGACGGGGCCAGGCACGTGGGCTGGGAGGCCAGGTGGACTCCTCGACCTGGGCCCCATCGAAGCTGCCCCCCATGGTAGCCGCATGGCTTGCACTAATGGAGGAGGAACGCTTCTGGGGTGCACTGGGAGGCCCATCATCACCAGCGCTGCGCCCCTCGATGCTGGCATAACCACTGTCCATCTGCAGCAGCTTGCGTGGCCCTCCCACCTCACCCTCCGAAGACCGCAGCACAGGCGGTGGCGAGGGCGGTGGGAAGGCGGGCGCTGTGCCCCCGGAGCCAGAGCTGTCGCCGCTTCGCACTGAGTCACGGTCGTTGCTGCTGTGGTCTGAGGCAGTGGCTGCATGCAACTCAAGCGAGGCGCGCAGGCTCCAGATGTCGTGGTAGGTGGTTTGGGCCTGCTCCGGCCCTGCATCTCGCTCACTGTCTGACTCCAGCTGCTGCTCATGCCCCGAACCACCTACGTTGTGCTCCGTGGGGGGCTCAGGGCTCACTCCTCCCATGGCGCCTGCCTCCTCCTCCTCCACCTCTAGCCTGCAAGCCAGGCGCAACCGTCAGAGGGCCTTCCCCCTATCCCCTCCCTGGCTACCCTGCTTGGTCAGGGAGGGAGGGTAGGGATGGATGGGGACTCTCCACCTTGGCCAGGCTCTGCAGAAGGTGAGTTTTTAAAAATGCTGTCTCCTTTGTAGGGGATGCTTTTTGGGTAAACATCCAAGCTCTCCTGGAGCCTGCTTTTCACCCAGGGTGTCTTACATGTGATCCAAATACCTGTGGCTCCTCACCCAGAAAGAGTGACTGCAGGTGTGGAGGACCCCTATCCCTGGGTGACTGGATAAGCCACTTCATACCCTCCCACCATTTTGGATTGATAACAAACTAGGGGGATGATACACAATCAGAAGGGGTCACTACCCAGACCTGGGAGTGTCCAATTGTAGGAACTCCACCCTGTTCCCTTGACCCCCTATCTCACTGATATGGCCCAGAGCTTCAGGATAGCTGCCCTTGGGCTTGGGGAGGGGGTCCTGCAGAGACTGATCAGGACAGTTTTTGAGAAGGAGCCTGAGCAGGTTGGAAGGGTCCCCGCAGGCCGAGGACTCCACTGGGAAGGGGCACTGCCCTGGCATGCATGGACCCCCAGCAGCCCTGCCTGAACACACGTTTAGTCCTGGTGACCCTGGGGCTATCGTCAGGGTCCCCACCCTCCCCTTGGCCCTTCTCCAGTTTCCCCCTGCTCCCCTCCTCTGATCCATGCTGGAGAGGTGGCCCTAGTGAGGCAGCCTCCAGGAGGGGCAGTGGCACTGGAGGAATTTGACTGCCTGTCTGCCCTGCAGACAGGGTGGGGAACTCACTCCCTGGGCTACCGGGTGATGATGGGGTGAGGCAGGGGCCCACAGGTCCACCCCTAGCACCTTTATCTACTGAAAAATACCTGCCGAGAGCGGGGGACGGGCTGGTGGGGCTGGCCAGAAAGGGGCAGGGGGGCGGGAAGGCCATGGCAGCGCCTGTGCTGGCAATGTACTGAATGAAGTCCATGTGGGGTGTGTCCCCCTCCTCCTGCTCCATGCTCTCGCTGGCTGCCCGCTGCCGCTGGAAGTGGTGCCTCTTGGGGGAGCCTGTGCAGAGGGAGGCACGTCAGCTTGCCTGGGCCCCTCCCAGCCCTGCGCCCCACCCCCAGGTCTGTAGGCACCAGCCTAGGCCAGATGAACATGCACCTTTCTGTACAGGTGTGAGGTTGTGCCAAGGCAGCAACAGTGCCCTGAGAAGCCTGGGGAGATAGGCGTGACTAGAGCAAGGATTTGCACTGGCCACCTAGTGGCAGGCACAGCTAAACTATAGCAGATATGATGCAGGCAGGTGTGAAGAGGGAAGGACAGGTTAGGGGGGTGAGGGAAGAGATGAAGCCCTCTCCTGCCAGCCCCATGCCTGCCCTTGGGCCACCTGGACAGGGGCCAAGACCCTCTCACCACGGGGACCTGGGAGAAGTTTCAGTGGGAAGGCCTCAGGAGTGGAGAGGACAATCACCTAGCAAATAGGTTCTAGGTGCTTCTGCACCTGCATTTGACTCTAGTCACCCTCAAGAATCACAAGCTGCACTCAGAGCTCCAACAGGGCAGCAAGACAGACCTGCCCTCCCTGGCCAGGAGCACCTAGGCTGGAACTCACCCCACCCTCTCTGGTGCTAGCTGGAGCCAGGCTCCAACCAGGGGCTGGCACTGTCACTAGCCATGCCCCTCTCTCTGATACTGTTTGTCCCCTCTCCCTGCCTCCTCCACAAGGCAGCAAACACAGGCATGGCCTGGTCTAGCCTAAGCTCCTTTGAGCAGGGCTGGTTCCAGCTGTCGGTGCCCACCTCCCGTGCTCCTGCCCAGCCCTGCCTTGGGCCGAGGACAAGGAAGCCCTACATCCATGACCCCACGTGCCCCAGGGTCTGCAGTGTTGAAGTTGCTGTCATTTGTCCAGGGGTGGCCAAATGGGCCCCCACCTGTTGTAAATGAGTTTTATTGGCACATGGCCAGATTCGCTTCCATGCTGTATACTGCCCACCACCACTGTAGACAATCTGGCTGCAAAGCTAAAAATACTATCATCTGGGTCCCCATATAAGCTTGGTGCATGGCTCTGGGCCCCTGCCTGACCAGCTTTGAGACTTTGGACAGGGTACCCACTGGCCAGCATAGGGCAGGTGCTGGAGATCCCTCAGGAATAGAGACCCCCCCTCCCACCCTGGGTTCTGAGCCTTCTATTCTAGCTTCTTGGGGCAGGGCCCGTGGCCCTCAATCCCAGGGGCTACAGCTCACCTCTTGTGTCCAGACTTGATGCCCGCTGGCTGGGCTCCAGCTTCCATTTCTTGACCTTAAAGTAGGGGCTGGCCCCATCCAAGCTGGCATGGCGCCTCAGGCGAGTGAAGAACTGCAGGACAGGGCCTGCCCCAGAGCCAGGGCCCACCTCCTGGGGCCCCACAGAAGCCCCAGGCCCATTAGGCTTGGTGTTGCTAGCACCCACATCCAGCTAGGAAAGAAGAGAGATGCTCTCAGGCAGGAAGGACCCCTTCCCCACTGTTTCCCACCTGTTACTCCGCCCAGGCCAATTGCAGAGGAGAACATGGAGCTCTTCCTCCTACCCCAGACATTGCCCAAAAGGCTCCCAGGGGCCAGCTCTGTCCTCCCCAGCCCTGGACAGAGGGGGTCCAAGGGTAAATGTCCAGAAGTGCTCACCCTGCTACTTGGCTGGGGTCCTAACCACACCCTGCCAGCTGCCAAAGTGCCCTGTGCACGTGTGAGCACACTGGTGTGCGAGACAGCTGTGCTTGTGTCCTGTGTGCTACCCACCCCGCAGGGCTCATGCCCATGGGCAGCCTCCCCAGCCTGCAGGAACCCACTGTGTGCTGTGGACCCTGTGCAGGGACCAGGCTGGGTCAAGGGGAGCTGTAGAGGATGGGAGGCCACAGGCTGACCTGTTCTGGAGCTGGACATAGGGAAGGGACACATGGGAGCCCTCACCGAGGCGCCTTCCCCGGAGTCACTGGATGCAGAGGGACTGATCTCGAAGTCAGCAGGGCCCATGGCAGAGTTGTAGGGGTCACCTGGCAGGGCGGAGCTGGGGCCCACGGAGCGGCCAATGAGGGCCTTCCCCGGGGGCTGTGGGACAGAGCCAGGGTGGAGGAGGAAGCAGTGACAGGTCAAAGAGCACTGGCGGGTGAGGGGGTGTGCTGGACCCAGCCCCCCTCTATGCATCCCAGTCAGCCCCCTCCCGTCCTGAGATGAGGGGCCCAGACCAGAGAAAGGGAAAGGTGCCACCTGCCAGGTAAGGGTGGGGGTCCCTCCCAGCAAGCCCAGGTTTGGCTGCCAAGCCCTCCATCTCACCTGGAATATGGCAAGGCTGGCCTTGGGAGGGGCAGTGGGGTGGGGCATGGCAGTTGCACTGGCCTCACTGGAGTCACACTCATGGATGGTGACAATCTTGAGGGGTGGCAGGTGCAGGTGGGTGAGACGGGCATTCTTCAGGTGATGGAAGTCCCCCTCTGTCAGGGTATACCTGTGCCCAGCATGCCCACCAGTCATTGAGCAGCCAGCTGGTCCCTGTGCTCGGCCAGATTCCCCCTGCCCACAGTCCACTGCTCCATGGCCCCATCCTCCACCCTGCCAGGTCTGGGGAAAGGAGAACATGAGTGGCCCCGCAGCAGAGGCCAAGTCTGCCCAGTGAGCTCAGCAGCGAGGCCATGCTTCAGCCCCGACGACGGTGCTGACCACCCAGGGATCCCCTTACCTTCGGCCCTTGTCCTGTGCCTTCCGGCTCTGCTCAAACAGGGCTGCCTCATTGAAGGACACGCGGCGGCCAGTGGAGCTGGTGGACAGGAAGCGCTCGGTCTCTGCATCCTGGCCCTCGAGGTCCTCCCCCCTCAATTCGGGGTCTGTGAGGAGAGCCAAGAAAGGGTGGGCCGAGCCTGGTGCTGGCTACCTATGAGCGGGACTGGCCTGGGAGGGAGCGAGGGGGCCCAATTGACCGCCAAGGATGGACAGGGAGGTGGGCGGGCACTCGCTCATCCGCTCACACACTCACTCGCTCAGCATGCGCCTGTGAGGACCTACGCGTGGGCTTTAAGGAAACAGAGATGAGTCGGAATCGAGCTGCGCCCAGTCTGGTGGGGGAGACAGACAGACACAGAAGGTCAGGAGGCCCAAGAAGGGAGGCCCAAGAGTGGATGGGGGGGCGGGGCCTGGGCAAGGGCGGGGCCTGGGTGAGGCCTCACCTTGGACCTGATGGGTACCATTGTCCAGGTAGGTGGTGGTGGTCTTCTCTAACTCCTCTGTGGCTCTGGGGCAGGACAACAGGAAGAGAAAGGTAGGCCAGTGTCCCTGAAGGGCTCGTGCCACTGGCAGTGCCCTGAGCTCACTGGATCCCACCTGCTGGGATGGGGTCCCTGCACAGATACCCCTTACACCTGTCGCTCCCAAACACTGCTGCCCTTGCACAGGGGTGGTGGGCCTGCTCCTCACTGGCCAGCTGTCAGACACTCACCCTGCTCCAGGGCCCCCCAGAAAGCAGCGGGGTGGTGGCCACGCACCTGTTGAAGTTCTGGTGGACTTCCCAGCAGCGCCTGCACAGGAGCAACACACCAGACAGGACCACAAGGGTCCCCCCCACGAAGAGCGACATCACCACCACTAGCAGCATGTAGCTGTCCAGGATGGGTTCAGGCTCTGCCTGTGGGGTGGCAGCGGTCAGGTCCTGCTGTGGACTCTAGTGGCCTCAACCCACCAATCTCCCTCCCTAACCCCATCACTCACGGTGGGGTGGACTGTGGTGGTGTTGTCCCACGTCATGGTCGGGGTGGCTGCGGTGGCAGTGGTGGCAGCTGTGGCCATGATAGCAGTGGGCTGCATTCTGATGTGAGGAGGGCCCTGTGGGGGCAGGGCCTGCTCAGCTCCAGCTCCCTGGCACCCACCCCCTCTTTCATCCCAGGGAGTCAAAGCAGGAGCCCACGCAGGGCAGTGACTCACAGAAAGGTGGGGGGAACCAGAGGCCGCCACCACCCACCTCAGATCAGTGCCCAGCAGGGACCTCCAACTCCCCATCTTTAAGACAAAGGTGTGTGTGTGTATCACCTGCTTCCCCAGCTGGTGGGGCCGGATGGGCAAGGTAGCTGGGCTGGGAGCCCTGCCCAGGAAGGGGAAGCACCCCTAGGAAAATGGGGAAACTGAGAGTGTCAGCTACACCTGCATGCCCACCACCCCAAGAGACCACAGGGCCCTGCCTGCCCCATCAAGGGAGAGGGAGGGGCCACCCCAGGAGACTGGCTTCAGGCTAGCGGGGACCGGTAGTCCACCTAGGGGAGCCAGGCAGAGTGGCTGAGCACAGGGACTCCAGGGTCATGACTCGGGAGTTAAAGGCCTCCTTCCACTGATCGCTAGAGGGAATGAAAAAGCCAAAGAAGGAGCATCTGTACCCAGCCCTGTAGAATCTGGTTCCCATGGCGACTGAGCTAGCAGGCTGAGCTGGGGGGGGGTTGCCAGGGAGTATTGGGGAGGGGCGGGGCTGGGGGGGAGGCCTCCTGCAGAGCGACTCATGCGGGGCTCTGGGCGGCAAAATGGCTGCTGCGAGCCTCCCCACGCACCGGTGCCCAGCCCGAGGCCGGGCGCTTCCGCCAGCAGGCTCTCCCAGCTCGGGCTGGCAGACCTCCATGCCTGCCTTACGCTGAGGGAAACTGAGGCCGGGGAGGGGCCCGGCACTCAGGAAAGGGACTGCCCAGACATTGCACCTGACCCTCCCCACAGCGGGAAAGACAGGGGCGCAGTCTGGAATCTCAGACTGGAACCCGATGACCGGCAGCATTGAATAGTCTGGGCTCCCTCTCGGTCCTTCCCCAGAGGAAAGGGAAACCTGTACACAGGCTCCAGCGTCCCCAACTCTTTCGGGTTTTGACCCCACGAGATAGCGGGGGAAACTGAGGCCCAAAGATAGGGTGGGTGTTGGCGAAAGTCAGGTGTCCTCGACGCTGCGGATCAGGGTCTGGCCCCGGCTCCCGTCTCCTCCGGGGTAGGGCGCGCGCATATGTAGGTTGTGAAATGAGTTCAGGCTGGAGGGGGAGGGGGCAGAGGCGCACGGACATGACAGGAGACCAGAAAAGATGGCAGGAGGCGGGGGAGGAAGATAGGTGGACTCTCGGGTGGGCGGGGACCGGAGTGAGGGCGGAGGTTCCCCAAGGGCTAGACCCCGAGGTCCCCCTGGGCCTCGGTTCCCCAAGCTTACATCCGGCCCCGGGGGCGGGGATGACGACCGAGGACAGGCAGAGAGAGGGGCTCCAGGCACATCTAAACCTCGGGCTAAGCCAAGAGGCAGAAACACCACAGCAAGCATGGATTTCCCAGGGGTAAACTGAGGCCCGAGAGGGCGCGGGCATGGGGTGGGGGGGGGTCCCTCTTCCAGCCTCGGAAGGCGAGGTGCAGAACGCCGCGGGTTGGCTCCCACGCCCTCCCCGAATTCTCCGGTACCTTCCTCGTGCCTTGCCGGGAAAGGACAGTGGTCCCGAGCCAAGGCGGGCACCAGAGCCGACCGTGATCCTGGGCTCTGCGGTCCCGGCCTTCCCCTCGCCCACCCCGGTGCAGCCCCGGGCCCGCCGCGCCTACCTCAGTCTCGGGGCGCGCGGCCCATTGGCAGCGGGCGGAGATGCGCGGCGCTCCCAGCTGGCTCCGGCGCCCGGTGGCCGCGGAGCAGAAGAATTTATGAATGGAGAGCCCGGTGCGCGGGGGAGGCAGGCGTGAGAGGAGGGGCCGCTCACGTGACCGCGTTGGCTACGAGCCCGCTCCCACCCGCTGGGTGCCGCCGGGTCCCCGACCGGCCGCCCCCGCCGCGCTCGCCGCCGCGTCTGGCTTAGTCCGCACTGGCCACCGCCTCCCCTTCCCTTCCGGCGGCAGCGGGGGAGGGGGTAAGGGGAGGCGGAGCTTGCGCTCCGGACGCCCCCTCCCCACGCCGAGCCGCTTTCTCCCGCCGCGGCTGATCTCCGCCCCCAGCCCCTGCAGCAAGATTCGTAGACCCTTCCGGTGGACCCAAAGGTTTGGGTGTGGAGGAGCGCCGTGGGATGCACGACTCTCCCCAACCCCGGGTCCTGGAATGCACAGACCCCCTCCTTATCTTTCTCCAGTTTGGGGTTCCTCAGTGTATACACAGCTCGGGGTTTTCAGGCACAAGTCCTCTCGTGTGAGAGCGACACTGTTAGGGCTCACGGTGCGCCCTGCCTCGTTGGGACGAGCAAAGATAATAGAACACAGCCTGTGTAGAGTACCATCGGGGCCTGTCCAGTGCCGGTGACAGCAGAACTACCCTGCAGAAACCCCATACCTGACAACCCCCAAAGCTGCTTCCTCTTCTTCCTCTCCGAAAATCGTGCCTTGTCCTTCTAGATGCATAGGCCACCAACCTGCCATCAGTCTGGTCCTGATCCCATTCCTTCCAGACCCCATAACGACACCCCTTCTTCTCCAGGGAAGGCCCACAATGCTTAGCAATACCCAAGTTCAACCTCCAGGCATTTGCACTCCTAGGCCCCAGGCCAAGACCACTCTTTCCCAGCTCAGCTGTAAGAGGCTCTCCCTGGCCCCTTCAACATTTCCCAAATACCAAAGGCTCCCTGCCTCTCCTTTTGGCTATGTCCCCTAACATGGCGACCACTACCCCACACTCCTGTCCTCTGCTGCACTTTTTTTCTCGCTGTGGCCCTCTATGTGTTGTATCCCCTGTCCCCATTACATGATGACCTCCAGGAACAGGAACTCATTTAAGGCTGGGTTCCCAGGTATAACACAGGGCTGGCACCTAGGAGAGAATGTGCTTATTGAGTGGATGAAAGGGTGACACAACTAAAGGAGAGAAAGGGGGCAGCTGAGTCGATAAATACCCAGGAAAGTTGGCACCAGGTAAATAAGGATGGCATGTGCAAAGGCCCCAAGGTAGGAAAGTATGTTTGCAGAAAACCGACATGTTTGAGGGAGCAGGGGAAACCAGCTTGTGGTTCTCAGCAGAGTAATAACATGGTTCCTCTGGCTGTATGTGGAGAAGGTACCCATGTTGAGGCAGGGGGAGGAGGCTGGGACCATGCAAGCCACTGATGGTGGCCAGGTGGCTGAGCTGAGTGGTCAGGCCTTGCCAATGGGTCCGCCAGGGTATTTATTACACGTTAACCTCAGCTTTTGGACCTAACAGGTGGTGTCTTTGCCCACGAGCCACACTAGAATGGGGATTGGAAAAAAGTCCAATGGATGGATTTGAGCAATCGAGTAGATAAAGGCCTCGCTAATGGGTCCGGGCCTCCAGGAGAGGTCAGGCTGCGCACACAATACACTCCTAGACACGTGAGTAGGGCTTCCCAATGCACACTCCCCTATAACCAGGGCTGGGAGAGGACTTTTTTGGCATAGGTGCTGCCAGGCAGGGGCGTGGCCTCAGCGCCTGCCTGGACATTGCAGGGAGCTAGGACTCACGCTGCCCCTGGGGTTGGGAACCTCTGCAGCAGCCCCGCGTCGCAGACCACCAGCCCCGGGCCCAGGAGTGACACCCACACGCCTGCGCCTTGCACTCGTCTGCTTCTCAGCAAAGAACCTTCCGTTCAGCCCGACTCAGCGTTTTCCCCGAGCCCAAGGTCGGGGGCGGAGGTTCAGGACCCACCCCTGTGCGTGACCGCGGAGGCGCGGCGGCGACGTCAGCGCCGCGAGCGAGGCTACGCAGGCCGCGGTGATGTCAGCGGAACCCCGGGCCGCCCGCGCACGCGCTCCTGCGTCAGCGGCACGTGGGGGCGACAGCCGGGCGAGGGTGCGACTAGAGCATCTTTGGACACTGAGGCGCCCTCTCGTGGCGGTCTCGGACTTTGCAGCCAAGACGTGCTAGCACAGTACGGAAGGTCCTGCTCACGCTGGATGCGATTCCCGGGATTCCTGAACCTCTCTCAGTTGCAACATGATTCATCCCCACTTTTCACGCTCTTTTGCACTTTTTTTAAAAAAGGTACTTGTCCCTTCCTAACATACAATATGACTTGCTTAGTTATTACGTTGAATGTCTGTAAAACGCTCTCACCACCCACACCAGAAGTGGAGTCTTGATATTTCTGATTTCTTTCTAGCCCCTAGCATCCAATGAGCGCTCTCCAAATCTTGAATTCAACTTAAGTGTCTCCTCCTACGCGCAAGCTTTTGATCTCCCCATGCAGAACCGTCTAAGTGACATCCGTCCCACACACTGACAAGTGAACCCTGAGCTGAGGCCGAAAACTACAACCTCCAGCATGCCGCACGCCCAGTAGCGCGTCGTTAGGGTCGCGCGTAGCCACGGTGGGGGGGGCGGGGTCGTATTCAGCGCATGCGCCCTCGAGTCTAATCCTTCTCCCAGACGTCCCTGCGCGTCGTCCTCCTCGCCCTCCAAGCCACCCGTGTTCCGCAAGACCCTGACCACCTGCCGCTGCCGTTATGCTGCCAGCCGCTCTGCTCCGCCGCCCCGGCCTGGGTCGCCTCGTGCGCCAGGCCCGCGCTTACGCTGAGGCTGCGGCCGCCCCGGCCCCAGCCGCGGGCCCGGGACAAATGTCTTTTACCTTCGCATCACCCACGCAGGTGCGGACGCTATTTCGGAGCCAGGATCCGCGCCCCTCTCCCACGCAGGCTGGGTCTGAAACCCCGGCTCCCATTCCGGATCCGAGTTCCCCAACTCTCAGGTTGCCAACCCCCATTACGGACCCGGGATCCGAGTCCCACAACCCCCGAATTCTTGGGCCTTCCACCTGGAATCCGACGCCCAAGAGCCCTACCTGCCCTTCAAGCTGGCATTGCCTTTCGTTGCAGACACCTCTCCCGAGATAAGAGCCTTCTGTGTGCTCCTCCCTTGAGGCATGTCCTCGTATCCTTACAGCATCTCTTTGCCGAAGGATTTGGGTGGCTGGATTTCGCTCTCACAGATGATGGCACTGAGACACTGCCCAAGGACCAAACCCCAAGCGTCCGCCCCAGCGCCGCTGCTTCTGTGTCTCCCATGGCACTCAGCCTTGCCCCAGCCCATTTCACTGCTGAGGAGTCCTGATGGAGTGGGACTGGCCTGCAGTGACCTGCTCCCCGTGTGTCTTCTCCAGGTCTTCTTCAACGGTGCTAACGTCAGGCAGGTGGACGTGCCCACGCAGACCGGAGCCTTCGGTATCCTGGCAGCCCACGTGCCTACCCTGCAGGTCCTGCGGCCAGGGCTGGTCGTTGTTCACGCTGAGGATGGCACCGTTTCCAAATACTTTGGTGAGTTCAGCAGAAGGTCGGTCCCCATATCCGTTGATATGGCAAGGAAAAGTACTGTGGGCACCCGAAGGACACACTGGGAAGCAAGCCAGAAGCATCTTGCAGTCTTCAGCTCTAGACTGGCTGTGGTTAAATAGCATGTAGCAGGTTGGGGGAGGGTTACAGATGCTGGGAAGAACCGTAAAACCATGCTGGGAGGGCTCCTGACTTAGAGAAGGAAACCTGTGGAGGAAGAAACTGGCTCTAAGAAGGCCTTGCACCAGCATCAATCTTCAAAGCCTCAGCCAGAATTCAAACACAGCCTGATTTCTGCTCAGCTAGGGAGCTGGTAGGTGAAGGGAAGGGTCTGTGTCCCCATGCCCAGCCACCTGCCACCCGCAGATGCCCCTGGTGGTCCCCTGGTCCCATGTGTTCTCTCCACTTGCCCATCCCCTGCGCTGGACCTCCAGGGCTCCTGTGGGGACACTGTCCTGGTTCTGGGGCTGGTGGTTTCCCCTGAGCCTGGATGTGATCTCAGTCCCAGTCCTCCCACAGTGAGCAGCGGCTCAGTCACAGTGAATGCTGATTCGTCAGTTCAGTTACTGGCCGAAGAGGCAGTGACGCTGGACATGCTGGACCTGGCAGTAAGTGTCCCGGGGGAATTGAGGCACTAAGCAGGCATGAGCTAAGAGCTCCTGGCTTTGGGGGTGGAGAAGCAGGTGCCAGGCCAGGGACTCTGCTTGGCCCTCACCACCCACCCACCTATTTACTGCAGGCCGCCAAGGCAAACTTGGAGAAAGCACAGTCGGAGCTGTCAGGGGCAGCGGACGAGGCCACGAGGGCCGAGATCCAAATCCGCATCGAGGCCAACGAAGCCCTGGTGAAGGCCCTGGAGTAGGCAGTGCGTGTCCCTCACCAGCATCGGCAGGGAAACCGAGGTCCAGAGTAGGACGGGCTGGAACCGGCTCCCATGGGTCCATTATGACTGGGTGGGGGCAACTCCTTTGGGAGGGAGCCATGCTAGCCAACACAGCCACCAGGGGGCAGCGCAGTGCCAGTGTCTCCTACAGCACACTCCCTGAGACCAGGCCTGCTGGGTGGAGGTGAGGTCAGAGACCCTGTTCTGCCTTTGGGGGGACTTGTCCCCTGGGGGGCTGGCCTTCCACCTTCAGAGATACCACCAACCTGACTTGCTGCCTGCCACTCTCACCTCTGTAGAGATCTCTGCTCCCCGCCACCTTCTTCGGACAGCCTGCCACTTGGCCTGCACCCCATTAAACACCAGGGACCCCACTTGTGTGTGCTGATTTTGTCTCCTACCCAGGGCAATGGGCTTCAAACCCTGTACTCCGTGTGAGGTAGGGCCTCAGCCTTGGGGATTTGGAGGTTGTGGCCTGAGAGATCCTTGGGGGCCTCTGGAGAACGGAAGGGGGTGGCATAGCCAGTGATAGCTGGTTAGGAGGGTGGGGCCAAGCATGGGGACAGAAAGTGACGAGATGACTGTGGCTCTTGGGCCAAGCCTGGGTTGCTAGACAGACACCTGGGGTCCTGTCAGGTGTCAAGCTGTGGTTTCTACCCTGTGGTCTCCCTGCCCCTGCCCCTGCTCCAGCAAGAAAGGACAGACCCTGCCCTGCGCTGGCCCTGCCCATGGGTAGCCCTGGCTGGCTGCTTAACCCCTGGTGGTGATGCCATCTCTCTGGCACCCCAGCCCCAAATGAGGTGGGATATCTGGGGAGGGGTGGCCCTGGTAGAGCATACCTTCACTTTGCTTCCCCACCTCCTCCCTTTTGTAACCCTCTAGGTGACCCAGACTTGGGCTTCCGGTGGTAGGCAGGGGGCTTTAAGGCATGAATGAGTTTTCTTGTGCCTTCTTCTCAGCCCTGAGCCTGGGTAGAGCTTACAGGGTATTCCAGGGGAGTGACTGTGTGGAAGAGCCTGGGCCTCCCCGTGACACACAGGGAGGCCACCCTGGGGCGTGTCATCAGCTGTGATTTGCTATGCAGTACTGTGTCACAGTCTCATGTAAGTGACTGTCATCCCTGTGTTTGACTCTTGACATGGTGGGAGACCCCAGTGTATGGGCCTCCAGGCAAGCCCACAGCTTGGTGCAGGGAGGTGCGTGTGTCTGGGTCTCCCTACTCTCAGACCAATGAGGCCCCAGCAGCAGTCCCCCACCTCCCAGGAACCCCCAGCCCAGAGAAGCTGTGACAGCCAGGGGTGTCACAGGTGTAGCCCCACCCCTCCATGTCTTTAGCTCAGAGCCAAGGTCCTAGAGTTCTTGGCCAGGTTGAGCACTATAAATAAGACCAGGGAAGGAGGGAGACCTTCATCAAGACACTCTTCCAGCACCTCCCACCACAGGGGTCTCCTGGCCCCGCCCTGAGAGGCTTTAGCTTCCAGCTGGGGGACAACGGGATGCAACTGGGCCCTCATAGCACAGCCCTTGTGGGAGACTTGTGAGCTTTGGGGACACTGCCCCCCTGACATGTGCTAGTTCTGGCAGGGCCAAGACCTGGGATAGGAGGGGTCCAGGGTGGAGCAGGCCACAGGGCCAGGAACTAGGAATTGAGACCTCTTCCATAGGGTAGGCTTGGGTCCTAATAAGGGCAAGAAGGGGGTCCTCTGGTATACTTGTGCTCACATCCTGGGAGAATTGCTGAACTATGGGGATACACTAAAAGGGAAGGAACAGGAAGGCGATAGATTAGCACATTTATTTAAGTTAGATTTGCAGAGTTAAGGTCAGGGCCCCTCCAGAGAGCACAAAGTTCTGCCCACCCCAAGAGCAACACACCTACTCCTTAAGGGTCCCACCTAGCCCGCTCCTCCTGCTTCCTCTTCTTCCTCCATGCTCTCTCTGGAAACATCGTCCACCCTGGACCACTCAGCCTGCAGCTACTTAAGTCTGCAGAGCTTTGCACTGGCTGTTTCCACTTCCTGGAGCACCATCTTCTGTGTGTGGCAAACTTGTTTCATGCCTCAACCCCAGCCCCAGCGACTCCCTCCTGCTGACCCAGCACTGACTGACCCTGACTGACCCTGTGGGGCTGGGAGTGTCTGGGTGTGATGGGGGTGGGAGCAGAGGCCGCAGGAACACTGGGTGAGAGTAGAAAGAGCCCAGCCCTGGGAGGGATGGCCAGGGTGGAGTTGGAGGTGGGGTTGGGCAGGTCAGATAAAGGGAAAAACCAGATAAGTGGACAGGGGTATAGTACTTGGGGTCCCTTTCTATGCAGAGGGGGCAGGAAGACCAAGAAGGCCCCACCACCAACCAAGATCATCCTCAGAAAGCCTCCCACCCTGGGCAACTGCAGGGAGAAAGGACATGCCACATTCCTGTCTGTGTGATCTTTTCCAGTATGTAAAATGGGTGGAGGGGGGTATGCCTACCCCAAAGGATGGGCAGCGGTCTGTGAACTTGCATTATGAGTGATGACAGAATCTCTGGGTCTGTGTGAGAGACCCATACCTCAGGTCCCAGAGTGAGGCATGCTGCATTCTCATTCCAGCCCACGGCCAGCTGGGAGAAACAGGCTCTAGAGGCTAAAACCCTCCCGAGGTCACAGGACCTATGGTGACTGGCTGCACAAGGCAGGCCTGGCGCTGGCTAATCGCTCCCTAAATGCCCTCTGAGGTCACTGTTAAGGGATGCAGGAGGCCGCCTGCTGGGGCACCCCTACTCCAGGCAGGTGACTTCGGCCAGCCTGTTTTCCTGGCCTGCGCTGCTGACTCTGCTCCCCTTCCCGTCCCCCACCCGCGACTCGAGCGCCCTCAGGCCGAAACACAGAGCCTGAAGGGGCAGAAAAAGAATGGGACAGGGAACTCGACTGTGCACCCCGAAACCCAGTTCCTGTGGCTCGAGCAGGGGTGCGTCCCGGGTTCAGCGGCATTCAGGGAGCACAGTCATTTGCGGGGCGAGTAGCCCAGGCCGGGCGGCGCCCCAGGGCCCTTGCCCGCTGGGAGGGGCGGGGGAGAGCCTGCGTCACCGCCAGCCCGTTTCCCCTCACCCCCGCCCCCTGCCCGCCCAAACTCCACCCCAGGGAAGGCGGCGCGGATAAAGGTTCGGGCCGGCTGCTCTGCCCCAGACCTACCCGGCCACCGCTCACTTGATCTTTGCTTGGGTACATTCAGGACTGTTGTGACCTCCGACTGGCCGCGCCCGGTGAGTTTGGGGCGAGATCTCATGGGCCAAGGAGGGCTTCCCCACTCTAGGCTTTTAAGGGTGTCTCACTTTTCTTTGTTCTTGGGGCAGGCAGAATTCGGGATATCTTCAGACCTGGGAAGCAACCCTGGGACCTGGAATGGGAGGAGCTAGGCACAGCCAGCACCCGGGTGGAGGGACCTCAGCCCCCGCCCCGCCCCTTCACCCTAGGCACTCCCCCTCCTCAGAGTGACCTTGAGCTAGTTGCTGTTCCAGCCAGTTTCCCCCGCTGTACGGTCCCAGTTTCCTGATTTAGAGGCTTCACATTCATAGCGAGGCTCCCCTCAAGGCCGCAGTCGGTTCGTTTCACTCCTGTCGAGGGCAGCAGCCTCTCGCCCCTTCCCCAGAACTCCCGGCCGCGCTCCCGGATGCGCCCGGCAGAGGGCGCGCTGGCGCTGCTGACTCACCCCAGCCCCGAACAGAGCGGTGCGCGCGGGCGCAACAGGGACGCCGCGTCACGTCATTGCTCGGGCGGGTGCGACTCGAGAAGCGGGCTCAGCCCGCGAGACTGGGGTGGGACGTGAGGTGGCACCGGCGCGGGAAGGTTGCTCCCGACACCGGCTACGTCACCGGTATGCAGACTTCGCCCTCAGCTCCACTTCTCGTGGAGACTTCATGCCCCCAAGGGTCAAGCCCATCCGTGAGCCGCCGAAAGGGGCCCAGCCATGAGGCACGGGGATTGCCTCGCTTCCGCCCGCGGTAGATTCCCGGATTGACGCGGGGAGAGGCCACGCGACATCCTGCCCCTTCTGGAGCGGGGACAATGCCCACCTTCACGCCGCACTACTCCCGGCCGGGGTCTCGCGCCTTACCGAGCTGCTCGCCCTTTGTTGTGGGCAGCGGGCCTTATGAATGGCCCCCAGCGCGGGCGGGGGCGTGGGGGCCGGCTTCTGCAGCTCCAGCTCCGCCCCCGCCGCGTTCCCCTTGGCCACCGGGACAGGGGCGGGGCCAGAGGCGGGCGCGGCGGCCACGTGGGGCAGCGCCGCGGGTACTCCTATTGGCTGGACTGCACGGCCTACTAAGCTTTCGCCGCGCGCCGATTGGCCAGCGCTGGGCCGGCGGAGTAAGTAGTGAATGGGAGGGGGCGGAGACCCCGCCCCTTGGAACATTGCTACAGTATAACTTTTTTTTCTTGTTACTTTCACCCCCAGATCCTCGGAGCGGCGGCGGCGGCGATTGTTGCTAAGGGAGGTGACGCGCCGGGAAGCGCGGCCCGAGCGGCAGACGGCACTAAGCTCCGCCGGCCTGGGGCGCTGACTCCTTTGGGACCCTCCCCCCCCGACCGCGGTGTCTTGGTCGCCGCCTGCCGCCCTTGAAAGAAGCCGAAAGTGCTGTCCCCACCCCCGGAAGGCGCCCCAACGAGCCGACGCGACCCCGGAGCGCCACTGGGATTCTTGATTCGCCATTTGCTCCTGGGACCTTCTCGAAGGGAACACGCGCTGCCTTTCGTCCCTAGTGGCCCCCCCGAAGACCCTGGTTCGGGGAGCCCCTGCCCTGTCCTGCCCGGAGGTGCGGCGAGGATTGGCGGCGCCCCGAGGACCCCAGCCCCCTAGCGCGGGCAGGGGATGGAGCCGCAGCCCGGCGGCGCCCGGAGCTGCCGGCGCGGGGGCCCCGGTGGTGCCTGCGAGTTAGGCCCGGTGGCGGATGTGGCGTCCATGAGCCTGGCCATCCACAGCACGACGGGCACCCGCTACGAGTTGTCTGTGTCCCCCGACGAGACGGTGGAGGGGCTGCGAAAGAGGCTGTCCCAGCGGCTCAAAGTACCCAAGGAGCGCCTGGCGCTGCTCCACAAAGACACGTAAGTACCGCGCGCCGCCCCGGCCCCAGGGCACCCCTGGCCTGCTGCCCCCTTTGGCCCCGGCCCCCGGACGGGAACAAAGAGCTCGCGGCTCGGGGAAGGAAGGGGGCGGCCAAACGCGGGGGGTGGGGGTGGCGCGCTCTCGGGCGCCCTCTGCTCGGCCTTGCTTGCTTCAGCCCCCTCCCCTGTCCGGGGTCGCTGCACAAAGGCGGCTTCGAGAGTGCCCCGGCTGGGCTTAGGCGACCCCCCTCGCGGGACGGCAGGAGCCCCGGGGCGGTGCGGTGCTCCTGGCTGCGGGGGTGGGGTGCGCTGCCGTCGCTTCCCCTGCCTTCGTCTTCTGCCAGTTTACGCATCTGCTCCGCGGCCCCCTCTGCGGCTAGCTGTCTCTCCCCACTTGCCTCTCTCTGCCCCCCTTTGTTCTCGCCACCCAGCGCTCCCCTCAGCCTCCCCCTCCCCCATGGTATTTAAATCGCCTCCAGGCTGGGGAGCCCTCCTCCCGCGGGCCTCCAGGGACACGCTGTGTCCATCCCCAGCGGAGGGGCCCCGGTGGGGGAGGGGCGGGAGGGGGAGGGTCTCCTTTGTCTGAACGGCGGCAGCCTGCGCCAGGGAGGGAGGGAGGAGGGGGAGCCCGGCTGGGCAAAGCCCCTAAAGGCTAAGCCCTGTGGCCCCACAAAGACTAGCGCAGGGCCCCAGTGGGTAAATTATAGGCAGGGCTGGCCCTGGGGTGACTGGGAGGGTGTCACAGGGCACAATGGGGCCCGGGTAATGAAAACTGCCTTGCTGAGGTGTAAAGGTGCCACAGTCCAGAGATGGTGTTCCTTTAGAGAAGGGGTCTGAATCAATAGCATGGGGTCCCAGGGCCAGAGAGTGAACCTCGCCCCATGTTCAGTGCCCTGGGTCTAAGGGCCAGTGAGAGATGGGTGGAAAAACTACTGTCTCACCTCAGTAAGCACAGACCTCTCCCTCAGCCTCTGCTTCCGTGTCCCTGCCTGGTCTATGCTGTAGCCTCACCCTCTTCCTTCCTCCCCCCCCACCCCCACCAGCCGGCTCAGTTCGGGGAAGCTGCAGGAGTTCGGCGTGGGGGATGGCAGCAAGCTGACTCTCGTGCCCACCGTGGAGGCGGGCCTCATGGTAAATGGCTGAGGAAGCCCCAACTTGGGCGGGCAGCCCCCTTTCATGCCAGCATGGTCCCCATCACACAAGTCTGGGCTCCCTTGCCCTCCAAGGCAGCCACCCCCCTCCCAACCTCCCCACCTATCAGGGCCCTCCCAGCCCAGGTGCCTGGCCCAGAATGCATACTCAGGGTCTCCTCCCCTCCCCTCCCTCTCTTTGTAGTCTCAGGCCTCAAGGCCAGAACAGTCTGTGATGCAGGCCCTGGAGAGCTTGACAGAGACCCAGGTGAGATATGCGCCGTCCCTCCTAGCCCAGTGGGTAGCAGGCCCAGTGCCAAGCCCCTCTGGAGAGCCTGGGGTTGTTTGTGCTCCCAGGAAACCTGTGGGGAGGGGACTTTTGCTGCCCCACCTTCTTGACATCTTGGCCTGGTCACCCAGCTTCCTCTTCCCCCTCCCCCCAAACACCACCTGACCTTGAGGGCCTTCTCTCCCACGGTTGGTCGCTGCCATGGAGGAGGGGGTCAAGCTTTCACAAGCCTGCCTTTGGGGTGACCTTGGCCCAGTCTCCCACCCCTGGGGGCCTATGTCCCTGAGCACCCCCTTCTAGGGCCATTGAAGTTTCCCTGGAGTGACCTTTATAAAATTTAAGCTGGGGCGGGGTGGGGGGGAGGGGCTGGCCTGGGTGACACTCCTTCTGCCTTCCATGACCCCTTTGTGAGGGGTGAATAGTCACTCCTCCCCCTCCTCTTTCTGGCCTTTGTTCTCTGCCCCAAAAGGGGGAGGGGTGGGGGGGCAACTAGGCACCCAGCTAGGCCAACACAGGATGTTAGGAAAATATTTAGTAACCAGCCTAGAGGGAGATGAGGAGGGAGGCCTGGGCTGGCACACACCCAGATTCCCGGTTTTGTTGCAGCCTTTTTTTCCCCCCTCCTTTTCTCATTTTTCTGGCGGCAGGGCCTCCTCCCAGGAGGGTGACACAGGCCTCAGCTATCCGCCTGCTGCCAGGGTGGGGGAAGCAGGCTGCTGCCCTCCCCTAGAGGGGGTGGGCAGGTTCTAGGCCTCCCTGTCTGGGCTGGCCAGCCGCAGGAAACCTGCTCAGCCGCTTCCCTTCCTCCTGCCTGAGGCCCTCGCCCCCTCCCCGACAAGTAGCATCCTGCCCTCACCAGCAGGCTAGTGTGGAAGACAAGAGGGGCCAGGAACTGGGTGGTCTGTCATCAGGACTGGTGGTGTGGGGTAGGGGAAGAACAGGGGTCCTGGCAGCCCCAAGGGGGCTCTTAATTTCCTGGGGCAGATGTGAACTGAGCTCCCTTCTCCTGGGGGAAGGGGAAATGTGGTTGCCAAGGGGGCCCTGTGTGTTTGGTTCACATCCGCCCTGGGGTGCCTGCGTCAGGAGGGAGGTGCGGGGGGGCACTGGGTGGATCAACTGGACTCCCAGGGCTGCTCCCTGCCTGGCACCACCACATCACGCCTGCCCATTCCTCCTCCCCAGGGAGGAAGTTGCGGGAGGGAGTGGAGGGGGCTCCCCAGTTGCTCTTCCTGCAAAGGGCATTTCTGGGGATGAGGCAGGGTCATGCAGACTGGGCTGGGGGCTGGGGGCTTTGCACTGCTTGCTTCCCTCGCCTCTTCCCTGAGGCCACCAAGCACAGAAGGTTACACCAGCCGCTGCCAGGGGAGAGCTGGGAGGCGGTTGTTCTGAGTCATCCAGCCTGTGTCACTTCTCAGAAACCTCCCCCCCCCGCCCCCCCCCCAACCTCCAGTCCGGCCCCTGGGGAGAGTTCTATGCTGGCCAGGCCCTAGTGCAGCTGGGGGTCAGAGGCACCCCACACCCTCTGTGAAAGGGGGCCCCAGTTGGAGGGTTCGTGTTTGTGTGGGCCGCATTCAGGCCCTGGGGGACCCTGGCTCCAGGGAACCAGTCGGCCCCTCCCGTAGCAGTGACGCCTCTCAGCCTCTGCCCCGCCCAGGACAGATAAATATTTATCTTGAGAAAGCAAAGGTTAGGATGAAGAATTTGTCCAGCAATTCCACCCACTCATTGCCCACCCCCGTGGTTTAACTGGGAGGGGGCCCGAGATAGTTCCCTGTGCCATAAACGTATGCAGAGAGGATCTGGGGGTTCGAGGGAGAGGAAAACATACAAGGTGAGGGTTAGGGCAGTGACCTCCAGCTAGGCCCCGCCCCCTCTGGCCTCAGTTTCCCCTTAAAAGAACCAAGCTGGCCAGGGAGGGCCAGGCCCCCCTGTCTGACCTGCCTCTGTCCCCCACAGCCCCCAGCGGCGCCCGGGCCGGGCCGGGCTGGCGGAGGCGGCTTCCGGAAATACCGATTCATTTTATTTAAGCATCCGTGGCACCGACAGGGACCCCAGAGCCCAGAGAGGGGCGGCGAGAGGCCCCAGGTCACACAGCATGGGGGGCTGGGCTGGGACGGGACGGGGATGCCTAGGACTGGTACCTTGGGGCTGATGGGCCACTCTCTACAGGTCAGTGACTTCTTGTCGGGCCGCTCGCCACTGACCCTGGCTCTTCGAGTGGGTGACCACATGATGTTCGTCCAGCTTCAGCTTGCGGCCCAGCACGCCCCGCTGCAACACCGCCATGTGCTGGCTGCTGCTGCCGCTGCAGCTGCCGCCACCCGTGGGGACCCCAGCATGACTACCCCCATGTCCTCTCCCTGCCGGCCACTGTCCAGTGCCGCCCGAGTTCCCCCAGTGCCCACCAGCCCTGCGCCTGCATCCCCCTCACCTGTGACAGCCGGCTCCTTCCGTTCCCACTCGGCCCCCACCACCTGCTCCGAGGTGAGTCTGGGAAGGGCTTATCCTGTAAACCCAAGGCTGGGCTTTGCTGGGATGTGGTGTTGGGGGTGAGGGGCTGGCACAGGGACTCAGAGACCCTACTGCATTCCTTGTTTCAAAGGCTGTCCCTGGACCCTGGGCTGGTGGGTAATTCCTAGACCCTGAACACCAAGGTCTGTGCTTGTACCCTAAGCTCATGTGCCCCCTCCCCCATCAGCAGATGGACTGTTCCCCTGCTACCAGCACCCGGGCCAGCCCCACATCCACCCCTGGGAGCAGCCCCACCTCCCGTTCCCGCAAACCTGGTGCCATTATCGAGAGCTTCGTGAACCACGCCCCGGGGGTCTTCTCAGGGACCTTCTCTGGTAGGTGTCAGTGGTTTCCACTTGTTTCCCAGCAGTGGTCACATGCACACGCATACATGGTGGGTGGGACATTCTCACAGTTCCCCCTGTGATCTCCATGTACACTCGTGACCTTACAGCAGGCTTTATGTCCTCATGCATTGGGGGGTTCCTTGTGTCACTCTGGCCCCAGGGTCCTACCCCTGGGCACTCACCAACTCACTCTGCGCCCCATAGGCACGCTGCACCCCAACTGCCAGGATAGCAGCGGGCGGCCACGACGGGACATTGGAACCATTCTGCAGATCCTCAATGACCTCCTGAGTGCCACAAGGCACTACCAGGGAATGCCCCCATCACTGACCCAACTGCGATGCCACGCCCAATGTGCACCAGTCTCACCCGCCGCAGACCTCGCCCCCAAAACTACCTCCTGTGAGAAGCTGGCAGCCACATCTCCGGCCTCCCTGAGCCAGGCCCGCCTGGGCAAGCCCACGGGTGAGTGTCCAGGGTGCCCTGCCCATCCTCACTACTCAACGCCCTTCTGTGTGCTGCTCCGAGCAGCTGACCCATCTCAAGCTAGGGAGTCTCCAGCTGCTACTCAGCCTGCTCTGGGAGAGCCTAAAGAAAAGGGATTGTGTGTTGGGGGCACAAAGTGTCCTTGTACCCTCCCGAAGGGGGTTTGTTCTCACTTCCTCCTTACTCCATTCAGGTACCTTCTCCAGGTGGCAAGTGGATCCTTTGTGAATGGCCTAGTAGGCCAAGGAGGGAACCCAGCCTCCCCTCCCACACAACAACCCATGTCTCCCAACCTGTTTTTACCCTGTAAATGTGCAGTCGCACTGACCAGTGACACCACTGTGTCTGGTGCGCCCCCCAGCCCAGGCCATGAAGGGGAAGCTAAGGCAGTTCTTCTCAGTCACAGAAGCAGCTGGAAGGGTTCAATCTGTGTTTAATTCATGTAATGAATGTTTCCCAAGTGCCTGTCTTAGACATGGCCCTGCCTTAGACAAGGTTCAAAGCTGGACCCTGGAACAAGTTTTAGAGAGGGGGGAAGGGAGGAAAAGAAACGTCAATGTGAGAAACATTGATTGGCTGCCTCTCCCATGTGCCCCGACTGCTTTCCTACTGGGACTGTTCCCACAACCCAGGCACGTGCCCTGACTGGGAATCGAACCAGTGTCCTTCTGCTTTGTGGGACAATGCCCATTCAACTGATGCACACTCATCAGGGCCCTTTTTTTTTTTTTTTTTTAATTGTTATAAAGAGAGAGGGGAGAGAAAAACACAGATTGTTGTTCCACTTATTGATTCACTCATTGATTGATTCTTATGTATCCTGACTGGGGATCAAACCTGCATTCTTGGCATATGAGATGACACACTAACAACTGAGCTACCCAGCCAGGGCTGTAGCAAGTTTTAATGAACCTACAGATCCCAGAGATCTACTGGAGAGTGAGTGGAGCGAGTGTCCAGGAGGCTTGGGCTGTGTGGGAGGCATTTGCTGGGGGTCTGGTTTCTCCCAGGGGGTCACGGTCACTGCCTCCTTCACAGGGGACCGGCTGCGGCAGACAGAGAACCGAGCCACCCGCTGCAAGGTGGAGCGCCTGCAGCTGCTGCTCCAGCAGAAACGGCTCCGCAGAAAGGCCCGGCGGGATGCCCGTGGCCCCTACCACTGGCCACCCAGCCGCAAGGCTGGCCGCAGTGACAGCAGCAGTGGAAGCAGCAGTGGCAGCCCCAGTGAGGCCGCGGGCTTGGGCCTTGACTTCGAGGAATCTGTCTGGAAGCCAGAAGTCAACCCTGACATCAAGTCAGAGTTCGTGGTTGCCTAGGAATCTTGTCCCACGCCCCTCCCCAGGGTGGCTGAGAGTATTGCCCAGCTCAGGAGGGCAGGCAGTGGGCACTGCAGGAGGCCCCTCCCTCCCTCTCTGGCCAGCATTCTTCTGTTTTTTTATTTTATTTTATTTTTATTTCATTTCTCACCACGATTTTCCAAACCCTCCTTTGCCTTGGGTTCCTGCCTCCTCGGTTCAGCTCACACCTCCCCACCTTCTCATCATTTCCTCTGTTGCCCTGCCTCAGCCACACAGGGTCCTCCCTGCCCATCTCCCCAAGCTCCACATATGTAGCAGTCTTTCCAGATGGTTCAGAGCAGAGATGAGGAAGCTGCCCCACCCCTTCCACTGGCTCTGCAGCCCCCCACCCTCTTCAGGTTTAAGTCAAAAATGTAGATGCCTCATATGCACTTTACAGACAGGAGGGGGCCACAGAGAAGAGAACCCCCACTGCCAATTCTGGCCTTCCCCCAGCCAGCAGGGCCCCGCAGGGCTTCCAACACCTCACAGGACCCGCAGCTACACCAACCAGTGGCTGTCTATTCCCCGTCTGTACTTTTTTTTCTTGGTTTCTTTTTCCCAGAAAACAAAAGCTGTTTCAGGGGGAGAGGCTGGCCAGCCTACCTTGGGTTTGGGTGATGACGTGCTACCCTTTTCTAGCAGGAAAGGGCGGAACGGGAACAGACCTGTTGCCAGCCTTTGCCGGCCACGCACTGTGCTATATCCTCTGATGCCACTCTCCAGGCCCCGCCCCCCCACCCCATTTTTCTTTCTGAGCTCGGGGTATTTATAGACTGTTAATTTTCTGACTGAGCCAATAGTAGTTGGGAATCCCTTGAAAAATCAGGAGAGAAATGGCTGTGGGGCCAGGGAGATGCCCCCGGCCCTACTTCTCAGCCCAACCTGAGAGAGCTGGGCCTGTGGACTGTCTGGGGGTGGCCCTCCAGCAACCTGGAGGGGAGGGGGTGCTGAGCTGTGAATCGCATGTTTAGGGGCTACACTGTGTAGCATTAACCCCCTGGGGGGGGTTGCTGCTGGTCTAATTTGGAACCTCCCCATTCATGCCCATTCCCCAGGGGTCTTTGGCCCCTAGAGCAGAGGGACAGACCCCCTCCCTATTGGGGCCATTTCAGTGGGGGTGTTTATTTTTCATTCACTTTTTTACTGATAAATGGAGATGTCTGGGCCTCCCCCCCCCCACACCACCACCTGTCTGTCCTATAGAACACCCCACCCCTTGCCTGTCTCCCTCCCTTTGTCCTACCTGTAGATGAACCCCAGGTCCTCGACCCTCCCCCTTATGTGTTTCAAGTTAATGGTTTCAGATGTGAACATCATGTGTTAACTGTAGCTCTGTAAATTTTTTTTGTGGGAGGGTGGGCTGGGAGGGGTCAGAGGGTTAGGGGTCAAGGATTTTTTTTTTTCCAAAAGGGGAAAAGGGCGGGTTGTTTTTGAAGAATTGTCCTGGATATTTAAATGTGTGTTCTCTTGTTTTGTTTTGTTTTTTTAAACAATTTTTAAGTAATGTCTGTATCCCCAGGGTCTGAGGGTTGAAGCCCCAGGCAGGAACAGGCCCTGCCCAGCCCCCAGCCCTCACTATGGCTCCCTGAAGAAAGCATTACCCGCCCTGGGGGTGGGGGTCAGGCTGTGAGGTGTGCCTGCACCTTTCGTGAGTTTCCTGTATGAAAAGAAAAAAAACCTACACAAACACAGTGATTTCAAGTAATAAAGAGAAAATGACACAAGTGAAAGTCCGCCTGCTCCCCCCGGGTGGGGAGGTGGTCTCACATGCCTGGGAATGGCATGGGGGTTATGGGGTGGTATGCTGGGATCTTCCACTATCTCAGAGTTTGAAGGGCGTTCCAGTGTAAAAAGAGGAAGGGTTGCATCCCTTAACATCCCAGGCCCCCTCCATGGCTTGGGGCGAGGGCGGGCAGGAAGCTGCCCCTGCAGAGGAGGGAGGGGCAGGCCACCTCAGGCACCCAAGGCCGGAAGTCCTGCAGGGCGTGGGCTCAGACTATGGGGCCTTGACCTCTGGGTTCCCTGCTCTGGTTGGCCCCTGACCCAAGCCCCCTCCTCTCTCAGAATACCACCAGGGCTCCCGCCTCGTGTCAGACCTCTGGAGGATCCAGTCCTTTCCTAAATTACCAGGGCCTGGGACGTGTGCTAGGTAACCTGGCCCTGGGTAAACTCCCTGGCCCTGACCACACATCCAACCTCCAAGCTGTGTCCTACCCAGGTACTACCCTCTCAGCCACCCGTGCTGGGCCTGGGAACTTACTCAGTTGGTATCTACAACCTCAACATCTGGGGATCCCACCTTCATCCACTTTGGGGCTGAGTGAGGGGATAATCATAAAACAGCTATTTTACATGGATTTCCTCACTTAACAAGCACTGCCACCTAGGAGATATAATTACACTCCCATTTCTGGAGGCCCAGAGAGAAGCATCATTTACTTGTCCTGGGACAATTGGTGTTCCTGAAATTAGTGACGACTACTTCTGCCCAGCTTGTGATGGCCCAAGCACCTGCCACCCAAAGCCCCAGCTCCAGGGGTGCTAAAAGGGAGGGAAAGTTTCCTTCCCAAGAGTTTTGTGGAGGCCTTTCTGCCTTTCTCCCACCACCCAGTTACCCCCAAATCAACAGCAAAAAGGTATCAGGATGCCCAGGTCAGGCTGATCCCTTCAGACCTCAATGTCAACAGCATAAACGTCCCCGCAGGTGGTGGAAGCGTGGGTGGGACAAGTCAGGTGTAACTTCCGCTTATGCTGTCGGGTCCCGAGAGTGAGGCCCGAGCTCTGTGACCTAGGTGACCTCCACAGAGCTGGTGGGGGTGTGGAGGGAGGTGGTCGACTGAGGAACCCACTGAATCATGGGGCTGTGTCTACACAATGCAGGGTGGGGAGCACTTCTCTTTTCTTGCAGCTCCAGAACCTACCCCTCAGGGCGCAGCTCGGGGTGGAAGAGTCACGGCCCAACCCAAGGGTCCTAGGAGGATCCCACCCTTCGTGGGTACTGCGGGTCGCATCGCACACAACTGCAGAGGGTGGGGTGGGGTTGCCAGCCAAGGGTGTTCAGCGGTCGGGGGGGGGCAGCAGGTCAGACCAGGAAGGAGCGGGAGGCACAGAAAGGTAAACTGACGCCCAGAAAGAGCAGTGGCAGCAAGGGTCCGGATCGGCCCTGCACGGCCCCCTCGCTCATTGAGGAAAAAGATGAATGGGAAGAGGCGGTCCCCGGAAACCCTCGAGGATGGAAACGTGGTTTCCAGGGCAACACGCCGCGAAACGTGTCTCACGTCACCATGAAGAAGGCGCCCTGCCCACCCCCTACTGAGGCCCAGGTCCCACCCACCACCGGGGGACGCCTCATTGGTTGCTTCCCCATTGGCTCTTCTGTACACACCAATAGTGGTGCGTGGTTGCCTCTCTGAGGAGGTACTGCTTGGTGACCGGGCTGAGTGCGCAAGCGCGGAGCGGAGGCGTTAGGCGCCCCACCCCTGCCTCTAGCGGCAGTTTTGACAACGGCAGATAGGCCTGGACGGAAGAGGGGGCGTATCCGGGGGCTCCGCACGCGGCTACCCCCTACCCGTACCCGCGCTGTCGCGTGCACCCTTCCACGCCCAGGTATTGCTCTCTGCCCCCTCTCCCATGACTCTGTGTGCGAGATCCCAAGCTGGGGGAGTACTGCAGCCCTCACGCTGCGGGAGCCCTGGGGACCAAACGGGAGGAAGGCAGTTAAGTTGGGCTGAGACTGCGAGAGGATTAGGGGTTTGCCAAATAGAGAAACAGGGAGGTGTAAAAGCAAGGGCATTTTGGGGGCAGCTGGGAGATCAGGATGGGGGAGAAATAAAAGGCCAAGGACCCGAAAGGGTGATTCTCCAAGTCTGTGGCTTGGGGAATGAGATGGCAACCAGGGAGGAGCTGGTGGAGGGAACAGAAGCCAGGACATATAGGACCGACGTGGCTGGACGCTGGGCCTGGGCTTGGGGGAGAGGCCTGGGAAGGAACAGATGAGGTATTGTCTGAAGGGGCCTCCTGTTCTCAGCGGGGTGATTGGCAAGGGGGCCGCAGGTAGCTGGGAGATCGGAGGAAGGTGCCTTTTAAGAGCCCCTAGTACGTGGCCAACCTCTAGGCAGAAATTGTTGAACACCCCAGTGGGAGAGATTAGGGCGGCAGGAAGTCCACATCGCTGCCAGGCTGTGGTTCAGATTGGGCTGTGACCAGGAGTTACACAGAGAAGGCAGAGGTCAGTGTGAACAGGGTAGGCTCTGCCAGCTGGGGAGGATGTGAGCCAAACCATTGGTCCCAGGCAGAGCTCAAGACTGAGATGAGGGTCTGGTGGGTGATGGTGGTGTGGAATGGCGTGGCCACCAAGGCGTGGAGCCTGAGTCCAGGTGGTGGCTAACAGGTGGGCGGTGCTCCTGGGGTGAAGAGGCTGCTGTGGGTGGGAAGGAGGAGGTCATGGCTTTCTGCTTGGGGCAAGAGCCCTCCGGGGGTGGCCAAATGGGTCACTGGGGCTAGCTGCACAGTGTTGAAATGCCAAAGGCTAAAGTCAGTCAGGGGGTCGCTTGGGGAGGACGTTAGGGAGGAGCCATCTGATGAGGTGGAGTGAGTAGCATGCCACCAGGGCCAGCTGCACTCACAGCACTGGGAGAGTGCCTGGGGCACAGCTGCCCCCCCCCCCCCCCAGGGCCTGGTGGAACCCGCCCTCCTCTCCAGACTCATTGGGAATGGGAGTTACCAAGCCAAGAGGGCTGGGGCCCAACCCAGGAGTCTTGACTCCAATCCCACCCACGGCTGCCCAACCCTGGGAGGGCAGAGGATCAGCAGCCTCTGGTGTCACTGAGGGCAGGTGAGCAGCCTGCCTGTGGGTGGGGGCAGGGCCCCTGTCACCTGAGGCCCTGCTTCCTGACTGCCGTACCCTAGACCTGTGTCCTTGTTCTGCTGCCTTTATGTCTGCCCCTGGCCTCCATCTGTCTCTGCCTTCCTCTCCTCCCTCTGTCCAGTTCTCTTCCTCTCTCTTTGTCCTCTCTCTCTCTTTTTGCCCTCCTTAGTCTCTTGGCCTGTCCCTGTCCCTGTTCGGGTCTCCCTCTGTTGTCATCTGCTCTCTGTCCCACCAGCCCCTCCACTACTTCCACCCCCTTCTGGGAGCCTCTTTCTTTATCACCCTAGGCACATTCCGGCCTCCACCCACACCTCACCAACCCTCCCTGGAGCCAGCTGCTGCTGAGTTGGGTACCCAGCACCAAGGAAGTGGGCTTGGGCCAAGGTTACAGGTCGGGGAGCAGGCAGAGGTGGGGAGGACACCCCCTAACCCTTCTGGAATCTGGGTAGGGCTAGCCCCACAGGGTGGCAGGGGAAGGTGGCCCCTCACAGGCTGACCCCAACTGCACTGTACCCCCCTCCCCACTCCCCAGATGTTCTCCACAGGCCTCCAGGAGAAGCAACACCACCTCAGACTTCCACACAGGGCCTCTTACAGCCTCAGACAGACTAATCTGCCTTCTTACAGGACACTTACGTGAGGCACCCTCCTCCATAGTCCACTTGCTTTCCTGTTCTGCAACACAGAACCCTAATACACAACACTCTACACACACCCCAAACCAGCCCCAACCCATACTTTGGTTCTGCCACAACCTCAATCAACTGCGTGACCCTCAAATCAAACCGCACCTCTACTCTCAGCCTGGGCCAAGATCTCCTGTAAGGAAACTGCAAAGTTGGAAGTTACACCCAGCATTGGACACTCAGGTCCTGGAAGACTTGCTCACCCAACACAGCACCCTCCCCAGACACACCCAGCACTCAGCCATAGACTCGCCCACACAGGCCCACTGGAGCCCAGCCAGGTGATTCTGGTGGGGACAGGTGCAGGGGGGTGTGGGCACATGTGTGGGCTGCTTGCCCCACAGCTCTTCCCGGAGTCACTGCAGCTGCCCAGGGAGGGAGCACTCCTCATTTGTGTACTCCAGTGTTACCACAGAGATGCCACAAGCCCCTTGTGCCTGTGGAGAGCCTGTATGTGGGTGAAGACACTTGTGTGTGGGGCCAAGTTCAAATGTACAGGGCATCTGTGGGGATTAGCTCCTCCTATCCATGTTCTATGTCCAAATGCATGTTTGGTGTGTGCTTGTCAGTCACTGCATTTACCACCCTGTCTGTGCCTCAGTTTTCCTCAGCAGAAGGGGCCACCATCATGAATTGAGGAAAGAGCAAACGTGTATGATGGTAGGGGCAGGCTTGTAGCTCCCACAGGCCTTCGCCCAGGTGCAGGTTGGAGCAAATGAACAAAGTCTGTGTCTCCTTGTGTCCCTCAGGATCCCACTCTGCAGCCCATCATGTGTGCATGCAGTTTGTGGGGACTGGGGTCACTACCTGGCCTTTATACTCCTGGGATGGGAGCCTGGGGGAAGCACAAACAAGTCAGTCTCCATGTTCTGGACTGTGAGTCATCGGCATCTGCCAGTTGTCCCCCCTACCCTTTGAATCCTCCTCCATGTGGAGACCTCCTCTTAGAAACCAGAGAAACTAAGCTCCGGGCAGCTAAATCTCCTGTGCTCACAGTTGGCAACCAGCTGGGGCCTCCTAGGACCAGAAGCCCCCACCTCCTTCTGCAGGTGGAAACTAGGTAGGGGGCAGTTTAAATCCTCCTCCTGGTTGTGGCCTCCTGTATCCTTCCTCTGCCCCAAGAGGCCCTGGCCACTGCTGATGCACAGCATGCGTGCCCACCCCAGGAGCATGAGTCATGCCACCAGCCATGGACACATATGCTTTGTGAGACCAGTCTATCCAAGTCACGCACACCCAGCCCTGTCCCCGGCTGCTCCCACATCCACATCCTGAATGCACAAGCTTTGGGATCCACGCACAACCCCCTGTGATTTTCCACATGGAGTGCCCTGCAAGTATGTTTCCATGTGTGCTCACACACACCTCCATGCCAGTTTTCTCACACACACGAGTTCCATGCACTCACTGCCATATCCATGTGCACGCGTACATAGTCCCATTTTCATGTCCACACAAGCAAGCGTCCCCAGAAATGCTTGTTTCCCTCTCTGTATCCATGAGTAGACTGCCCACGGGCACACATGTGCACCACACCTGGCAACTCACACACACACATTCAGTCTCTGATTCCCCAACCCTGGCTCTGGACGCCGCGGGTGTGGGCCAGGATCCTCCTGCTTCCTCACCCTGGCTCGGCAGGCGCCAGGTGCACCTTCTGGCCCTCGCCCGTCAGGCCAGAAGGGTGTGGTAATTAGCTGGCCCCCAGGTCTCCCACATACAATCGTCTCATCCTGGCCACCACCGTCCAGGTCTGAGGTCCTCATTACTGTCTTCTGCCTGGTCATTACTCGTGTCGGGGTAGAGCCTGGCATCCGGCGGGCGGGGCCCAGCTGAGAGGATGGAGGGGGTGGTACGTGAGCGAGGTGGCCACACCCTCCGTCTCCATGGCGATGCCACTGTGGGGAGGGGCGGGGCGTCCAGCCTTAGTTGCAAAGACAGCTGCGGGGGCTTAGGAGTGGGGCGCCCCCTCCATGGCGGCCCTTTGGGGAGGGGCGATTTCCGAATGCGCCGACCTGGTCCTCCCGGCCTAATCCCCAGTCCCCGCCAGGGAGGCGGCGAGTACCGCGCGTTCCGGGCCGCAAATAGCAGCCTCGCCCCCGTCCGGGCTATTTTGAGCCTCCTCCTCCCCGGCTACCCACCCCTGCAGCGCTTGGGCTGAGGCGTGGGGCGAGACGGAGACCCCCTCCCACGCTGAGACTCGTGGCGGGCCTGGCGGAACTCGGGTCAGGGTGACAGCTAGGCCGCAGCGCCCCCTACTGTCCTCGGGGTGAGCATGACACAGCGGCTGTGGCCCGGATGAGGGTGGTCCCAGGATCTTGAGAACACCCCATGGGAAACACACGGTTTTGGTTCTACACCGAGTCACAGGGACACGCATACTCGTGTTACCACAGAAACAGTCACGGAGACACTTTACATACCTGTGACGCAAGTACACGATTCCCACACGATGCCTGGTGCAGGTGCACCCGGGGACAGGTATCCAGTTACCAGTCCACACCTTGATGGCAACCCAGAACTGTCGTAGGTAAATGTGCAGCCCATACCAGCAATGGGGTCGTAGTAAACGTTTAATAAATTTGTGCTGGTGGAATGAATGCATGAACAAGGCACTTCACAAAACCTCTGAAGACTTTGTAGTGCAGGCATGTAGCTTGGATCTTTGGTTTGGCAGGCCAGGATCTGCACTAACTTTATTTACCCATGGAAGGGTCTAGGGCCACAGGAGACAGCATGAGCAGAGACTTGGGCAGGAGGCAGGTGTTGGCTACAAAAAGGGACTCCCCGTGTTTGAGGATCCCTGCAAGGATCATTCTTCTGATGGCAGAGATGTTGGGACACCTTGAAAAGACAGGAAAAGAACGCAAGGGGAGGAGTAGAGTGGCGCCGGCCCCCTATGGGGGTAGCGAGTGGGTTCTGGATGCACTGGGACAGGGGTGATGGAGCAACTAGTGAAGGGTAAGCCCGGGCTGAGTCCAGTGGAAGAGTACAGTAAGGACTAGAGGACTGGCCCTAGTGGCAGGCTTGAAAGGCTGGTGGGGGTCAGTCTGTGGCTAGAGCTGGATGCAAACGTGTTTGGCTAGGTGAGTGTTGGGGTGTGGGCTAGTGCAGGTCGGATTTGTAGGCTAACTGGATTGGGTGAGGTGGGTTTCCCAAAGTTGGGAAGTATGGAGAATTTGAATCGTGGTGAATATTGGGGTCCACATAAATGAGCTTGTCTCAGTATTGGGGTTTGGGTGGGCTTTGCGGTAGTCTCGTGAAGTGGTGTGCATTCAGGAACTTTGGACTGCTGGGAGCGCTGGACAAGTATGATTATGTGAACAGGTATATCAGGACTGTTGTCGGGGTTCAAATGTTGAGGTATCAAAACTGAGCACAGTATCTATGGGAACCTGGGTGAGGTGGAAATGTAGGCAATTGTTGGAGCAAAGCAAAGGTCACAGTTCCACCAGAGACTCCAGCCTCTGGCAACAGTGGTCGGAGGCCTTTGTTCCGGGTGGGAGGTGGGTACGCGGAAGTGGGTCAGCCCCGCCCCGGTCCCGCCCCCTCTCGAAGGCGGCGGACTGCGGACCTGCGCGTTCCCGCCAGTCACAGCGCCCGACACCGGAGCGCGGAAAAGGCGTGGCCTATACAAGTCCGGCCCACAGCCACGGAATATAAGGCGTGGCCAGTGGCCGCGTAGCCTGAGATTGGCCAAGGTGGCACCTGGGGGCGGAGCCCAGCGGCGGCGTACATAAGAGCGGCCCCCGGTGGGCCCCCCCCGCTCACTTGCGCGTTAGGAGGCTCTGGTCGTTTTGTCGCGTCGTCTTCCTGCCTGCGTCAGGGACCTGCCCTACTCTGTGGTGAGGGCCCTGGCGGCACTGGCTCCAAGGGCCCCGGGCGGCGGGCGGCCTGGGGCCGACCGGAGGAGGCAGGGCGGCGGCGGTACGCCCCTGATTAGGGGTAGTGCTCGGGCGGGCTCAGGGTGGAGTCTGCCCCACCGGCGGTGTGGGGAGGCGGTAGACCCGGCCGAGCCGCAGCCGGGGGGCGTCCCCTCGGTGGCCTAGGCTTGCTGAAAGTGGGGCGCCGCCGCCGCCGCAAAATGGCGGCCACGGGCGCGAGGCTGCGGCCCACGAAATGGCGGGAGCGCCGAGTGCCCGGATGCAATGGCTCAGGGCCCGCGCAGGACGCATGCGCGCGGTGTGGGCGGCCCTGGGGCGGGGCCATTCGGCGGTCCTCTGCCACGGCCTGTGCCTTCCTCAGTTTCTCCTTGAATTTGCTCGAGGGTAATGCGGACCCCTCAGTTTCTCCTTGAATTTGCTCGAGGGGAATGCGGACCACGTGTCTCAGTCCCAAGTTGGGGTTCGAGTTGCACGTTTCCAGGCCTGTGTTTCCGGAACCATGTGGCAGAGGTTCTTCCAGCCCAGAAAGGGTCTATCCAAATTAGCACCGGCCTTACATATCCTCTGTACGTTGGAGCCCAACCCTATCTCCCTGCGAAGGCCCGGTTTCTGCCCCGCCCCCCCCCGGCCCCGGTCTCACAGGTGCCCTACAGAGGACCATTGACTTTGCTATTTCCACTCCAATCGTTCTGTTTAGTTTGGTGCCTTTGTACAAAAGGATGAACCGAGATAACAAAGGCAGATACCTGCCTTAAGTGTCCAATCCTAAATATCTCCTGGGAGCATCATCTGGGGTCCACCACCAAGACTGCACTGAGGAGTACAAAGAACCTGACCCGCTATTGGGGAGCCCTAGGTGGGGACAGGGGGCCCAGAGTAATGAAGAAATTAACAGCTTTTTTTTTTTAATTAAGTTTTGGGTGTGGGTTTATGATGGTAAATAGCAGAAAGATAATTTTTTAGTGTGTCTTCAACAAGCATATGTTATTTGTATCTAAAGTAGAATAGGAGGGAGGGGTGAACAGTGAAGCCCCTGGAGGACCTCAAGCTTTCAACGGTTTGCCACAGGCCACCATGGCATCAGATGAAGGCAAGCTTTTCGTTGGAGGGCTGAGTTTTGACACCAATGAGCAGTCGCTGGAGCAGGTCTTCTCAAAATACGGACAGATTTCTGAAGGTGAGGCTGGTGCTGGCCTGGTGGCAGCTGAGCAAAACTTTTGGGGATGTTGGGTGTCAACTGCAGACTTCTCCCCTGTACAGTGGTGGTCGTGAAAGACAGGGAGACCCAGCGGTCGAGGGGCTTTGGGTTTGTCACCTTTGAGAACATTGATGACGCCAAGGACGCCATGATGGCCATGAATGGGAAGGTGAGGGGCAGCTGCTCTGGGGATGTAGAGGGTTGTGGTTTGCAGGGCAGGGAGGTGCAGAAGCTGACTTGAGCCAATCTCTTGATCTCTACAGTCTGTAGATGGGCGACAGATTCGAGTTGACCAGGCCGGCAAGTCATCCGACAACCGATCCCGTGGGTACCGAGGTGGCTCTGCTGGGGGCCGAGGAGGCTTCTTCCGTGGGGGCCGAGGCCGGGGACGTGGGTTCTCCAGAGGTGAGTGCCACTTTGGTGCCTGAGGTCCTTGAGGACATGATGGTAACACTGCTGCAAGGAGCTGGCACTCACTTGTCCTCCCTGTTCTTGTCTGTAGGAGGAGGGGACCGAGGCTATGGGGGGAGCCGGTTCGAGTCCAGGAGTGGGGGCTATGGGGGCTCCAGAGACTACAGTAGGTAAGGATGTGGTCCTGCCTGAGTGTGTGGCAGGGTTCTGTTGGGATGCTGGCACAGGGTTGGGGTGAGTAGACTAAGGTGCCCTCCAGCGCCCACATATTTCCTTCCTACAGCCGGAGTCAGGGTGGTGGCTACGGTGACCGGAGCTCAGGAGGGTCCTATAGAGACAGCTATGACAGTTATGGTAAGTCATACTCCGAGGGCCTGTGGTGGGAGCTCAGCAAGCTTTGGCACCCTCTGTGAGCAACACTCAGACCTTGTCACTGTGCTTGCCCATAAGGGACGAGATTGCCCTCTCAGGTCTCCATGCCAGCAGCCATTTCTACCACAAAACATAAAAGCTAGACCAGACCAAGAAAGAAAGGGAGATGAGGGGCCCGCTGAGCAGGCAGCATAAATGCATGTGTGGCCGCCCAGCCCCGCCGCCCTCAGCTGTGGGGGGGGTTGGTTGCTCCCGAGGCCACAGAGCCGAGCCCTTCAGGTCTGAACCCGGGAGTGGAATGCTGCCTCTTGTTGCGTGCTTCAGTGCTTTTACACTGTACCTGCTTCTTGTTCTCAGCTACACACAACGAGTAAAAATCCTTCCTGCTCAAGATCGTCCTTCCAATGGCTGTATATTTAAAGATTTTGGGAGCTTCGCTGAATCGTTAATGTGTAGTGAACACATCTCCTTGTACCCACTTTTGTAGTCTTACCAGTTCTAATCTTGTCAGACACAGCCTGACTGCTTCTCACCCCCTAGATGGCCTATTAGACTTTACTTTTTAAGGAAGCGCTGTCAGTTTTTAAGGGTTTTAAAAACGTTTTTAAAAAGCACTTCTGATTTTACTTTTTACTTTTTTTTTTTTTTTTTTAATTTAACCATGAGCCATGAGTTTTTGAGAATATCATTGGGGGTTGTGTGGGTTTTTTGGTTTTGGTTGTGTTGTCTTTTTTTATTTCCCTTTTTAGTGGGGTTGGGTGAAGTTGGGCTCCCCCACCCCCACTTGATTCAAGTCTCTGAGACTGGACAGACTTTGAGTCCGTTTTTTGTTAGAAGCTGAGCAGGCCATAGCTTTTTTCCAATTCCATGTACTGTTTCTGAGTGTAGCATGGTGGGACCGGCCCCAGGTGGCAGCAGAGGTGCCTGGCTGTCTGGGCCCAGCCTGTACAGCCCATCTGCTGTATATAGCTCACAGTAGACTCGAAGATGTCCCTGAGAGGTTCTTGAAAATGTTTTATTTATATTGTCCTTTTTTACTGGAAGACATATGCATATCCTATTGATGTTGTATTTGAAGTGGTTAAGGAATTCTTGTACACAGTTTCTTTGGCTTTACGAAGCTGATTAAAAGACCGTCTGAAATGAACCTTGCTCTGACAATTTCCCTTTCATTGCTCAACACACTTCTGCTGCTAGCTCTTGGCACTCAGACCTCAGCAGAGAGGGCTGCAATTTGAGAAGCAGGCCTGTGAGCCCTGCCTGAAGCTTGCAGAGAGCTAGACCAGGAAGGCAGAGTAAACTGACACTGGCAGGCCTCTTGTGACAGCTGACTGCCACTGGTCCTGGTTAGGTGAGCAGGTGGGTGACAAAAGTGGGCAGGTTGGACCTCGAGGTGGCCCTGGCAGGCTTCTGGCGGTAGCAGCCGGAGGGCTTGATGGGCGGGCAGCTCAGCAGGAACAGTAGACACGTGGGCACTTGACGTTGACCAGACTGCATAGCCTAGAAGCAGGCCAGAGAGCAGACCGCAGGCAGTGTCCCTGGGTGACCACAGACTGACTGCTTGTTAGCTAGCTCTGCTGTTGCTTTACAAGTTCTGAGAGTTCTCCGCTAGCCTATGGAAGCTGCAGCCCCTCGGAGGACAGAAGTGTTGTGCGCCCAACAGAAACCTCTGAGACGCAAGCTGCTCCCTTGGCTAGCTCATATGTGGAAATAGCCCTGTAATTCGAGGTAACTCCTTTTGCTCGTGTCCACATCCCTCCTCTTGTCAAGAGCTCATTTGAAAGTAAAATTATGTGCCTGGGTAATGTTTCTTTGACTGTTTTTTGCTTTTCCATTTTCTTTTTTAAAAAAATCAAGCTGGAACTAAAGTCAGATCCCAGCCATTAGCCCTTCCTCGCCTGCAGCCAGGCGAGCAGGCCAGGCAGTTGTGCTTTGCAAGTAGGTTCAATCTGTAAGCAGGATTGGAGAGCGCTGAGCATCCTGCCTTTTGGCTTTTTTGTTCATCAATTGACAGTGTTTTCCAGATCTCCTTGTCACACTCCTAACTTACAGCTCTCTGATGTTTGTTGCCACCATGAGTTGTTTTCCCAGATCCCACACCATTCTCTAAGCAGCTCCATCCCCAGTGGGTAGCTGGCTCTGCTTAGGGATGGAATGTGGCCTGGTCAAGGCTCAGGCTTGCCCTGGTCATGCCAACCCATGATGGGGGCTCTACCAGGATGGCCCGATGACTAGCTTGAGACCCTCCTAGGAGCTGTGGATGGTTTCGGGTGAGGTGGGGAGGGGCAGCTGTGAGCATGTCCAAGTCCCTGGGGTAACACTCCTTTGTTTTGGCAGGTTGAAGGGAAGCCAGTGCAACTCAGAAGGGTGGCCCAACAGTAGTGATGACCTGGGATACTGTCCCAAGAGGGATTTCACCTGGGAGCAGGAGCCAAAGACACAGCAGCCCCCTGCTCTCATAGCCTGTCACCTGTAAGTTCTTTTCTGGGGGTGTTAACAATCCTCTGTCCCTGGTGGGGGGGTGACACACAATCCTATGGCCCTGGCAGTGTCCTTTCCTGTGGTTTCTTTCTGGTTTCCTGTCCAACCCACAGCACCCTTTGGGGACACCTTTCTGTGTGTTCCTCCTACTGGAGCCAGCTCTAGTTCTCTTTTCACTCATTTATCCAGCAGGTTCTTCATTGGCAAGGATGGAGTGCAGGGCTTCAAGTCACTCCAGGAGGATGAGTGAGTGGCAGCTTGCACATGGCCAGTCCTCACCAGCCACAGTGTGGCAGGACATGGGAGTCAGATTTGAATAAAGGACTGGTGTGTCTACCCAGAAATCTGAGTCTGGTTTGGGGTGTGGCTGATTGGGTGGGGGGGGGAGTCCCTGTGCCTAGGTGAAGGCTGGTGAGAAGTAGGGGTACCCTAAAGAAAAACTTCTGGCCTTGGTTTAGGATACTAGCTGGAACCAAACCAGACCAGCCACTCACTTCATTGCCTTCTTGGGTTCACCTAGGGGCACACTCAGCCTGAGGGGAGGAGGTGGTGGTGTCTGGGCCCCTTCATCTGAGATGGGCATCTGTGTCTCAGGACCTCGGCAATAGTATTGGCACAGAGTGACCTTAGACACCATCGTCTGTTCCCCATAGAGCCAAGCTTTCTTCCTGAGCTGGTGGCTGAGAGTCCCTTGGGGTTGGGCCTGTCTGCTGAACTGAGGGAGATGGGGAGGGGAGGAGGGTGGCAGCTGACCCAAGGTTGGGTCAGTGCAATGAGGATGACCTTGGTGCCCCCTACTGCCACTGAGGGCAGAATGCCCAGGCTAGGACAGGCAGGCCTACTTTCCAGGAGGGTCCATTTCTCGGCACAAAAGCCAGGGTGGGGACCAAAGCAGCAAGAGTTCCCAGGCTTATGTGGGAGAAGCTCCAAGGGTATTGTGCTGAGCTTGGTATGACCATGTCCCTTGCACAGGTCTTTGACCCCGCTATGCAGTTGGGAACGTCGTTGGGGGCGGGGGGCGGCACTAGTTCCTGTGTGGCTTGTAGACGACGTTCCCCTTGGCTGTGGCACTCAGGCTGGGACCCAGGAGGAACAAGTCATGGCCTCCAGACAAGATTTAGGGTGTGCGCGCAGCTGGCTAGGCGCAGAGCAGTGTGGGAAAAACCGGACTGCGGAGGTGAAGCCGGGGTAGTGGATAAGGGGCGGGGTGTTTCCGAGTGTCAAGCTCCGCCCCCTGTGAGCCATTGGTTGGTACCGCCCTGTGCCAGTGAGGGACAGGAGTTCGCGGAGGCGGGTCGGAGCTACCGCTTCCGCAGGGCGATGGGGCCGTGTGTGCTGCCACTGCTGCTGCTCCTGCCGACACTGCTGCTGTCAGCGCTATTCTGCGGAGTCCAGGCGGTCGCTTCCCTATCGTCGGGCTCCTCGCAGTCTACGGTCTCGCCATCACAGACCATAGCGAATGGAAGCCAGCCGGCTGTGCCGTACAACACTACGCACCTGCAGCCGCGGGGCTCGCTGGGCTCGCAGCTGCTGCGCTCTTTTTACGTGCTGATTGGCCTCACCAGTCTGGTTGTGTTCTACTTCCTCATCCGGGCCTTCAGGTATGTCAGGCGCACGCCACCGCCTTCTTGGTGAGCCCAACCAGTGTGCGCCTTGCCCTCCAGAGTGGGCGTGGATGGTGCGTGTCATCATGTCGTCATGTTGTCTGGGTGGGTTACATGGGTCACGTGAGACCTTGGTACTTCCTAATGTGGGCACGGATGCGGGGTTCTCGGATGTAGCAATGCAGGCTGGACGGTGGGGGTGGGCGTGTACTCGCTTTATGTTTTTTTCCTGCAGTTCCCTATACCAGGCGTCGCCCACCCGCCCAACCTGGGCCTGTGGTTCCAGCCAGCTGCACCCTCCACTTTAAGCCACCCAGCCCAGAGAATGGAGCGGAGGGCCCGCTGGGCAGGGCTGGATGGAACTGCTCCTTCCTTACCCGGAAATCAGTTTCTTGGTTCCTCCCGTGTTCCCTCTAGAGAGATAAGGACTCCTTTTCCTCGACCGTGGCCCACATGCCCTGCCAGGTTCTGGTTTGGTCTCTGGCTTCCTTGTTTAGTTTCCTATTCGGGGCTGAGCTCCAGAGGGCCTTTGTCACACAGAGCTGACCATGTTCGGACACTTTAAAGAGGTCCTGTTTGTCCCAGACTGGCACTCTGTGTGTGCACAGTGCTCTTGCTCCCTCTGAGTACTCGATCTTGCTGCATCTGCTGCAGAAAGCCTCCATCTTCTTCCTGGTGGTGGTCAAGAGTGAGGGCTTGCACCTGAGACAGACAGCCCTCAGTTTAGGTGTCCCTTCTACCCCTAACCTCACTCTGAGACCCTGTTTTCTCATCAGTAGAGTGGGATAACAGCGCCTCCTCGAGAGATCCTGCCAAGGGAAGCATCCACCTCCCATTATTGACATAAGAGCAACTAATAATTACTGTGAACTTTATGAAGCAAACACACACACACAATTAGACAAGGAAGCTTCACAGCAAAACTAGGGATCGGGAGAGGAAGTGGAAAGCAGAGACAATGGAGGATCATGGGAGAAGGCAGGAAGCAGGATGGGGTGTGAGCCTCCCCCAGAGGTGACTCAAGACAGCCACTGATCATGCCTGGGACTGCTTCCAGGTTGAAGAAACCCCAGCGGAGGAGCTACGGCCTCCTCGCCAACGAGGACCCCACAGAGATGGCCTCCCTGGACAGCAATGAGGAAACCATCTTTGAGACCACGAATCTGAGATGGTAGTGAAGTCCTCCCCCTACCTCCAGAAGCTCTGGGTGGGTGGGTGGGTGGAGCAGGGTTGGAGAGTTGGGAAGATCACTGATTCTTGAGGTCATCCACTTGCGACCAGGCTGTGTGGCCTTGGGTAAGACATGTACCCTACCCAGCCTCAATTTCCCATTTCTTTCAGATGGGAAGGGGCCACAGTCTTGAGTCAGTGCTCTGGGCCCAGCCCTGAAGACCAACATCATCATCAGAGTTGGAGAATTAACTGCAGGGTGCTACAGAGGGGGTGGGTTGGGTGGTCTCTTCATGGCTCCAGCCCCAAGAAGAGCATAGCAGACAAAGGGAATGGCAGGAAGGAAGAAGGAGGGCAGGACTGAGGACCCAGGGGCTGCTGGGCACAGAGCTGGGACTGGACCTGAGCATGGAGTAATGGCTGTTCAGCCCAGCTTGTTGGGTACATAGGTGCTGAGGTCAGGAGACCATGGTATGGTTCTGGCTTTCCAAGCTTCCCAGAGGAGACATTGCTATAATGTGGTAGTTCCTCTGGTCCCCTCCACCTCCTGTGGCTAGCGAACCCCTTCCCCCTTCCCCCAAGGTGCAGTCAGGCAGGGCCTGGCAGGCTGGGGGAGGTGGACGCTGGTTGACCTGGGGACAGCAGTTGAAAAGGTGAGAAGGCTCCGGGGCACTCGGAGGGTGAGCCTCAGGCACAGTGGAAGGGAGTGGATCAGGGTAGGCCCCTTGCTCCACACCTCTCACCCCTATCCCTCATCTTCCAGACATTCAGGTCGGGGAGGCAGTGTTCCCAGAAGCCTTGGGGGAAGGACAAGAGACAGGGCCCCACTCCCAGTGCCTACACATCTGGCAGTTCTACTGGCCCGAGAGCTCGAGTGGGACCTGCCCAGCCAGCCTGAAGCTACCTTGGCCCTCCACTGCCACAGGACCACCCAGGATGCCAGGTGCGAACCAGAGGGGCCTCTGGCTGCCCCATCCAGGATTCTGAGACCCTATGGCTGGACTTTGACTTGTGCCCCTGACCCTCCCCCACGGGGACACAGCTGAGACCTGGCAGGCAGGTGGGCTTGTGGTCCTGTCTGGGAGAGCCTTCTCACTGGGCTGAGAACAATAAAGGCAGCAGTGGCTCTGTAGTTGTCACCCAACTCCATATGGGCCAGACCTGGCATCCTGGCTCATAAGCAAGGTGGATAGCAGAACAGAGCTTGATCCAGGCCTGGCTTTTCTTACATGTGACCACACTGGGTTTCTTTGGTCTTGTCCCCAGCTGTCCAGAGGGCACAAGGAGGAGTTCTGTGAAGTAGACAGAGAAATGGAGGGACCTCCCAGTCTGGGCCTACTCCTCTACCAAAGGTCCTGTACATAGGCTCCCTCTTCTGTGTTTCCTTCAGTCTAGGACCCCAGAAAGGTCATGTCCTTTGGGATACTTGCCTCGCCTCATTCACACCACCAGCACCTTTGGGGCTGTAGTGTATGGGGCCTGGATGAGGCCTCAGGACCCCTGTGTCCACCATGCCCCATCCCTATCAGCCTCATTGATGAACCAGATCCCACCCAGGCACCCAACTTCATTCCTGGGGAGAGTCGAGGGGTTCTTCTGTGGGCTTTGTTATTCCTTCCAGTCACTATGTTGGCACAGGGTCCAGCTCTGTCACCCCTGCCCACTGTAAATGATCCTGGAGAGTTGGAGGGGAGGGGATGAGGGGAAGGGCTGGCCTCTGGCAGCCCCACAACCTGAGGTCTTCCCCCAGGCCACTGGCCAGAGCCACCATGCCCATGTCATTAGGGGGAGCAGCCACTAGGTGGTAGACTTGTGCTGTCTGGCCTCTGCCCCACTTGCCTGCTGGGCCCTGGTGTGGCCTGGGCTCAGCCACTTGTACAGGTGGGGGAGAAATAGGTCCGTCTGGGAGCCCTGTTTTTCATGCCTGCTCCTGAGCCTCACCTTGTTCCCATGTCCACTGTGAGATGGGCCAAGCCTGCTGCCCATCTGGGATCCATCAGCCTCCTGGGCCTGTCCCTCTCAGCCCCACCGACCCTCCTCACCAGGGCTGAGCTTGGGTCCCTGCCTGTTGCCATCTCTGCCAGTCAGTTCATCACTCCTCTCCATCTCGGGTCCTACGGAAGCCAGCTGATCCCCAGTTGGCTTCCTTGGGTATCTCTGTCTGCGCCTCCTAACTCTTCACATTTCTATTTCCCGTTCCCCCTCAACCCTCAGGAAGTTTTCTATGACTGCTTCCTGCCCATCCCCACCACCATTCTTTGGGAGGGTCCTGCACTGAGGGATCAGTAGATCCTCCAGGGAAGGTTGAAGACATGAGGCCAGAGTCCCCTGGAGGCCCCAGATGTCACACCCCCTTGGGCTCTGGCTCTTCCCTCCCTATCTGCCCCCACCCCTCTCCACACATCTCTGTCTTTCTGCACTTCTAAGCCCCTGCCTGCCTCCCTGTCTGCGTCTCTGTATCTGCATAGCTTCCCACTTGGTCTCCCTTCGTCTCAGTCTGTCTCTGCTCTCTATCTCTCTCCCTGTCTGAACCACTGGGACATGCTTTTAACAGGTGCACAGAAACCATGTGGGTTCCCCCACCTTGTGATCTGTGCCTCTCTCCCACAGCTCTGAGCGACTTCTCGAGCTTCAAAAGGTACATTAATTACTCTAATGAGGTCAGGAGAGACCCCACGCCTGCCATCCGGAGCCGAGAACACACTACATGCCCTCCAGCCCGGCTGCCTCCTGTCCACCCCATGGGGCGGGGAGGGGTGCCCCTTGTTTCCAGGCCCCGGCACCTGTCAGTGCCTGTCAGCCTCACCATGCACCCCCTGCATTAGTTAGTGTGGAGTAATTGGCAGCCCCCTCCAAGGTTAATGCAATATTAGCAGGAAGTTCTCAGTGGCTAAAAGCTGGAAGAGGGGCCTGTCAGCACAAGATGAAAGGCCCAGGTCTGGTGGCTTGAGGGCCCGTGTGTGTGCATGCATTTGAGCATAGAGGGGCTTCTAGCATTCTTCTACCTCTCACACTCACACGCAGGCACAGGACATGTAGCACATGACACGGACTATCACACATACAGGACGGACACAGGACACATATGCTGACATACCGCTTCCAACAGATCCCAAGCCTGTGCCAGATTGGGGTGCACAGCCCATAGCCTGGCCCCCTTGAGGCCCCTCTCAGTACCTCTACCACCTCCCCCTGCACATGCCCACTGAATATGCAGCAAACCTGTCTCCTCAGCCGTGGGTAGGTTGGAATCTCCAGCTCCTGGTAGATCACTATATGGCTTCTCTATCTTGGGAATGTGGACAAGTGGGAGCTGGACACCTCAGGCTCCTTAAAGGGGCAGCTTGTGGCTGGGTGCCTCAGGCCAGTAGCTGGTGGTAGTCAAATTGTCTTCCAGGAAGTGGGGGTTCTTCTGCTGGCTCTGATGTGGGTTCCCTAGGACATGGCCCCTGCATCCAGTAGGGCCACATCCCTCTTACCTGGTGTTAGCAAGTGATGCTGCTGTGCCCTCCTGGGGTTCCCAGGACAGAAGTCCTCTCTGATCCCCATCCTCTCTGGTGGCTCATCTAATCCTCCCTGGAGGCGTCTGAGCTGCCATACACCGCCCCCCACCCCTACTAACGATGTCCTGTCTCGGCCAGATGTGCCTGTGCAGGTGCACCCGGAGTTGTGCTATCCAGCACAGCGGTCACACATGTGACTGCTTACATTTACACTCAAAGTGAAATTAAGAGCCCTGCTCCTGGTCACACTGGCCACATTCCACGTGTGCAATAGCCACTTGGAGCTTGGGACACATGTGATGGCAAAGATCTGGAATGTTTCGGTCCTCCAGAGAAGTCTAGCCCCAAACTGGTGGATGGTCTCCATGGAGAACTGCTCTCTTTCCAGGCCTGGGGCTGGGAGGGTCGGAAGGAAAGAGAGGGAGGGTAAGGGGGAGAAGGGAACTAGCAGGGGTGTGGGGCCCATTCAGTTCTAGACTTTGCAGTTGCAGGAATCTTAGGTTTGGGCTGTTTCAAGGGCCTGGGTGGACACAAGGGTGGGAAGTTTCATTTACCAGCAAGACAAAGGGACACATTTTATTTTCAGTGACAGAAACCAACAGCCCCCCAGCCTCGAGGAACTCTTGACCCCTCCACCCCAGGCGCCTAGCCTGCTGAGGCCCCACCACCCTTCTCTGCCGGAAATCTGCTTGGCTGAGCTGGGCACCTGAAAACCAATGGAGCCAGAGCACGCTGTGGATTTGATCCAATATATTCTGTAGTGAGACATTTATCCCCACATAGTTTTAGTCTTCACAGTGCTGTGGCCTTTGGAGGCTGAGGGTGCTGGACACTGATCCCCACCCTGGGGACTTGTCCTGTATATTGGAGGGCAGGGGGTGGATCATGGGTGCTGGGTAGCAGGTCAGCAGTGTGTGCTGGACTGGGGTAAGTGGGTGGCTGGTGCTGGGTCAGGGGTCAGTGGGTACTGAGTGCTGAGCCAGGGGTACCAAGCTCAGGCTAGGGACCAGATCCGGGACTGGCTGGGTCAAGGTCTTTCCTGAGTCTGGGGCACACCCTTGAGCCCAAGAGTGTAGACCCAAGTGGATGGGGATAGACCATCATCATAAATCCCATCCTGAGCCTGGGGCTAACAGAGGACCCTGGATGACCCCTGACCCCAACTGAGCATTAAACCCAAGACTTAAACCCTGTCCCCAGAGTGAGCCTGAAGTCCATCTCTTGACTCCAGAGGAAGCTTACGCCAGAATGACCCCTGCTCCCAGCTGATGCCCTGCCTGCTGAGGCTGGAGGCTTTGACAGCCCCCAGCCCTGGGAGGGGACAGGGCCTCTTGGGTGCCCATAGCTGGCCCCACCTGGGCAGGGGTCCCCATGAGCATCTGGTCAGCTGTTCCTGTACCTCCATCCCTCCCTCCTCCCTCCTGTGCCTTGCCTGAAGTCCAGGCCTCACAGCTGCCCAGCCCTCCCCTCCCTGGGCCCTCCCAGGCAAAGAGAGATCAAGTGGGGGACACATGCTTTTGTTCCTGTCCGTGCTCTAGCTCTGACCTTGAGAGAGACAAGAACAGAAGGAAAACGGAGCTTCAGCTGAAATCCACTCGGCAGCGGCAGTGGTAGCTCTCTCAGAGGTGGCTTGCGCCTTGCCTTGGTGGTCCCTGCATGCAAATAAGCCAGCACATGGCGGGTCTTTTTGGAGTAGGTCCCCTCTGCCCTGGGTGCCCTGCCCACTTTCCTGCACGGGTCCAATCCTGCTGGGTTTGACAGGAAGCCCCGCTGCATCTGTGAGGTTCAATAAAGTAGGAGGGTTCTCTTCCAACAGCATAGGAGGCTTCTGGAAGGGTCCCCTTTGCCGAGCAGGTCAGTGGGCTGGGCCAGGCATGCTGGGGCTCTGGGCACATGGCGGCAGTTCCTGTGCTTGGGTTCAGCCACCACATCTCTGTTAGGAAGTAGCTGTCCCTTTGCTCCCCAAAGAGCCAGCTAACCAACTGGGTGGTTAGCCCAGGGCTGTCCAGAGAGTTTGTCTGAAGGCCCTGCCAGGTGTCCTGGGCCAGTTCTGGGCCTCTGGGCTTGCCCCAGCCACTACTTGTAGGCAGGTCCCTGCCTCCTCCTCAAAGTCATTGGGCCAGCTTTGGGATGGGCACCTGCAGTCGGGTCAGAGGACAGGACCCACAAGGCAAAACAGACTGGGCTGATTTCCATAGTGGTCAGAGGACTGAGAAGCTTATCCTGTGGGGGGTAGGGGCACAGGGCGGGTCAGGCCTTGAAGGAGGAACAGAATTTTAGTGACAAGGGGAGGGGAGGGACTCCAGGTACACCCCAAGGCAGGAAGTGGAGTTCCGGAGAAGCTCAAGGGCCACGTGACGTGCCCACAATATAGTGGAGGTGTGTGTCCAGGATGGGTCTTGGTCGCAGGTTAGTTTGCCCATTTCTGGCCTCTCCCGGACCTTAGCAGGAGCTTCAGCTACCTATCACATGGGGAATTTCCAGTGCAAGTGCTCTGGGCTCCGGACCCTGCAGTGGGCCTTGGCCAGGGAAACAAGCCCAGCGAAGAGGAACCTGGTTGGGCACCGCCAGTATTTTCCAGCTAGTACTTGGTGACAGCTTACTTCCACGAGCTCAGTCTGATGGGGGGCTGTGACATAAATAAAGACAACTAGAGGTCAGCTCCCCAGGAATGCTCACTCTGAGTCCACTCCAGGCCCTCTGCCTGAACGCCCTTCCCATTCTCGCCTTGCCAGACTTCCCCTACGTGCTGACTTACCTGCTGAAAGTCTCAAGGTGGGGATTCCTGTTCTATTTCCCTGATGAGAAGATGGAGGTCAGGAGGGATGTGACTGTCCTGGGGGCTCCCAGAGGAGCAGTAGTGGACTTTAGTCAGCCCAACTACAAGTCTCCACCAGGTGGGACCGGAGAGGCAAAGTTGGCTTGGCATGGTTTAGGATTTGGGATCTGGGCATGGAGTTGGCTCAGCCTGGTTCAGGATTTGGGTTTAAATGCCGGGTGGGATGGAGGTGAGTCATCTCTGACTCCTGCTCCTGGAACTGACAGGCTCTGCATATGGGCTTGGTGGCCTGAATGGAGGGGACAGAGAGGAACTCAGGGAGCCTGGTCAGGGCCACGTGATAATGATGAGATCGCAGGGGCATGACCCTTGGGGTCCAGGCAGCTTGACGTGGACCAGACCGGGACGCTTTGGCTGGGGCAGGGGGCGCGGTTGAAGCAGCAGCCCCCGCCCACCCCCGCTTGGCCGGGGCACGGCAGGAGGGGGCGCCCGCGGCCCTCCCGGCGCTCGGGAGGGACAAAGGCCGGAGCCCCGGCCCCTCTTCAGCGGGTGCGGTGGCGGCCCGCGCTCCAAGAGTACGTGCGGCTGGGCCGGGGCCCGGGACGACCCCGGCGCCCAGCCCATCGCCGCCTGACTTTTCGGTGCCCGAGGTCGCGCGCCCAGGAGGGGGCGGCCGGGGATCTCCAAGCGTTGGCGCTCCCTCCTCCCTCCCGCCCTGCTCCCGCTTGCTCGGTGGTGGCAGCGGCGGCGGTGGCGACGGAGGAGGAGGTGGAGACGGCTGGCAGACGGCGGCCAGGCGAGCGGGTTGGCCGAACCCGGGCCATGGCGCCCGCGCAGCGCCCACTGCTGCCAGTGCTACTGCTGCTGCTCCTGCCACCGCTGTCGCCGCCCTTAGCGCGCGCTGAGGACGCCGCCCGAGCCAACTCGGACCGCTATGCCGTCTACTGGAACCGCAGCAACCCCAGGTGAGCGCGGGTGGGGACGGGGAGCCTAGGGAACCTGGATGTCCCCCATCCTGGCCCGGCCTCCCCGCCCTGAGCTCCTGGCGTCCTCCAAGCGCGCTGCTTCCGGAGTGGGGGTGCCCAGTCCCTCAGGAGCCCCCAGAGAGTCCTGGCCCCACCGGAGTTTGAGGGACTTGCACTGCTCGTGCATTCTCCTTCCTGGGTGCCCCTCTGCTGTGCAGTCTTGGGGGACTTGTGCCCGCATGCCCCAGAGCGCCGCCATCCTCAGGAGTTTGGGGATCCCCTCTGGCACCCTCAGAAGCCGTGCAGCCCTGAGTTCCCTTCCAGACTTGGGGGATCCCGTCCTCGGGCCTCTCCAGGGAACCTCCTTTCGGAGTTGGTGGGGATCCCTGGGGACCTCAGCACTGAGCTGTGCCTGAAGATGGGGGACTGTGCCCCTTCCCCCTAGGGTCCACAGGCATGTCCTGCCAGCAGGTCCCCAGAATAACTTGAGGAAGTTGGAATGTCCCTCCCCACTGACCCGCCTTCCACTTTCCCTCTAGGAGGTTTCTCTGCGGTGCTTTGTAGGAACAGGGAGACTGAGGTACCTAGGGAATTAGGGGTCAGTCCCTAGTCTTGATTTGGTGGTACCCTCACCCATCCTACCTCTAATGGGGAAACTGAGGGTCAGAAGGGATGAGCAACTGGCTCAAGGTCATGGCAAGGGAACAGAGCCAGGCTAGGGACCCAGGTGGCCTCGTGCCCAGCCTGCCTATGTGCCAGCACTGCCTGCCTGCACAACCTCCTCAGTGCTGGGCGCTCAGTACAATTTGGGGAGCAGCAAAAGCCCCCGTTAGACGAAGTTAGAAAAGTTTGCTGTTGACTGACCACATCCTGGACATCAGCAGAAGCCTCCGGGCCATCCCTGGTTCTTGAAGGCCAGAGGGGGCTGGGGGTCCCATGGGAGACAGGGCTCTGAGGTCCTGTGGCTTTATTGTCAGCGCCAGCACACCGGGTCACACAGCTGTCTGAGGTGGCCAGGCTGCACACGGGGTCTGAGGCAGACGGCCTCCCAGCTCCCTGCGCGTCTGCCACTGATCACTTTCTCATCTTTTCTAAGCCCTGCCGAGTGCCCTTCTGAGCCTGCTGTTCCCCCACTGTCTTCTGCTGTCCTCAGTCCTTGGGCCAAAAGTTGTATAAACGGCGGTCTTTGAGGCAGTCCCTGGGACAAGGGTGGCCAGTGTCCACCATGGGGGCAGGGAGCACATCCAGACACTCCCCTCAGTTACCCAGCTGCGGGGTCGGACCCCAGGGCCCAGGACAGAGACCCTATGCCAAGGAAGGCCACCTTGGAGCTGGTCCTCTTGCCGCTAGCCCTGCTGGTCACATGTGGATTTGATTAAGGCTCTTCCCTGCAGCCGGCTGAGCAGGGAGCCCAGCGGGCAGTGCTTCCCAGCCCAAGTTTTTGGTTTCAGCTCCAAAATTCCTGTCCCTGTCATGGCCTGTCCTTTGTTCTAGCAAATGCCAAACAAATGTGGAACTGGGACGGAAAAGGGTCTCTGGGGCAGCCCTCTGCCCCACCTGCCACAGGGCTGTGCTGCTGGCAGGATCCTGCCAGGGAAAGGGGGCACCTAGTCTTGGCTGTGCTGCCACGCAGCCACCTCCTGTTGCTGGCCTGCTCTGATCTGCTGCCTGAGGGGATGGCCTTGCTGGTCTGGTGCAGACCCTGACCCACACACCTTTCTCACTTCCTCCTCCTACCCGGGGCATCCCAGGTGGGGGGTGACTCCCCTGAAATCTTGTCATAGGGGTGGGGGTCGAGTGGGTGTGGGCTCTATTCGTTGCTGATGTTGAGGGGCTCTGCCAAAGGGGGCCTTGATGCCTGGGGACCCTTTGGGAGGTTTAGTGTCCAGGGGTGGCTGAACTAGAACCTGTGACCAGTGATGAGGTGTCTCAGGCAGAGGTGGAGGGGTGGTGTTCAGCCTCAGGGTTTGAGGGCAACCGGTCCAGGGGAGAGGCACAGGGTCAGGGAGCAGGCCTGAGATGTGAGGTGGTCCCTGGGGTGGAGACGGGAGACAGGTCAGGTTGGGGAGAGACAGCTGTGGGGCCAAATCAGAGAGCTCAGTGGTGGTGGCAGGCTGAGGAAACCCAAAAACGAGGGGTGGTTGCTGAGCCCAAGTGGCACACACACAGGCTCTGTGAGGACGGGGACTCAGCTAGGGCTGGGCAGCTTGAGTTGAGGACAGACTGGGAGAAGAGAAGAGAGGAGCTCAAGGGGTGGCTGTGCTCAGATGGGGACGGACAGGCACCCTTGCATGGCGGGGCCTTGCGCTTACCTGCATTGACGTAGTAAGTGTGCAGCTGTTCCCAAGTTATGTCCTCCTGCTGTGCATATCGTTTCCTGCGGCCTGTGGACTTTGTCAAAGAGGGAGCCCCACACCCACTTCCACGCTGTCATAGGGAGGTGCCCTGTTTCCAGTCCAGCCGCCCTCCCGGGCACCCCCATCAGCTGCTCTCCATCCTGGGCTGGCCACTGGGCATCACTGGGCTAGGTTCCTGGGCCAGCTGCCCTTACCTGGCCTGGCTGATAGCCAGGTGTGGGGCTGCATACGCACTTGTGCTCATGGGGGCTGCGGGGTGTGTCTGTGTGTGTCAGCGCATGTTCTTGTCCCTGACGTGAGGGGGTCCTGGAGACCTTGGGAGGTGCATGTCTGTGTGTCTGGTGCATATGCTGGTTCGTGTGGCAGAGTGACACATATGTGTACGTATGCATGGTACCCCTTGCATGTTTACACATGTCCTTGTGATTATGCCTGGAGTGCACACATGTGGAGAGTGTAACACATTTGCAGGAGCATGTTTGTGTGTGGAATGTGTGTGGTGTCTGGGGATGCGTGTGTGTACCTGCACCTGCATATTTGTGAATGGGGAGAATATGTGTGTCCCTGTGGGGGTACACATGTGTGTCTTTAGCATGTCTGTGGAGAGTACTTGTGTCTGCATGTGCAGCCTGGCTTGGCTGTCCCAGGGCCTCACTGATGGTGACACACACTTTATCCTCCCTGTTCACCCTCTGCCCTCTCCTTGGGCCAGGTGGGTCCCTGCCGGGAGATGTATCCAGACCCCTTGGGTCCTGTGCTGCCTGTTCTGCAGAGGGGCCACTGTTGTGCAGAGTGAGCACCATGCGGGGCACCTGCCAGCCTTCATACTCCCCACCCAACCAGAACACTGCAGTTGAAGTGGACCCAGGTGTGCTGACCCGGATGGGGGCTCTGGGCTTGGCACCTACCCCCACCAGGCCTCTCAGGCTCTAGCTACCCTCCCCTAACCCTCCATCGGCCTGATTGCCCAGGGGGTGGGCGGTGACTGAGTTTCCTCTCAGGTGACCCGGCAGGAAAATGGGCATTTGGGGAGGATGGTCCCATGGTGTAGGTGTGGGGCCTCTGTTCCTGTCCCCATCCCTGCCAGCCTTGCCTGGGCCTCTGAGGGGTGGCAGCTTTGAAGGGGTAAAACTGTGTTTTGTCACATGACACTTTCTGTTTTGTTTGAAAGAAGCTCTTCCACTTGGCTTGTGGGGCTTAGAAAGTGAGACCTGGTGGCTCTGGGGACTTGGAGCAAGAAAGTGAGGCACCCTGGCTGGTGTGGCTCGGTGGGTTGAGCACCAGCCTGCTGAGGGAAAGATTGCCGTTTCGATTCCCAGTCAGGACACATGCCTGGGTTGCAGGCCAGGTCCTTGGTTGGGAGTGTGCAAGAGGCAACCAATTGACATTTCTCTCACACATTGATGCTTCTCTCTCCTCCCTTTCTCCTTCCCTTCCCCTCTCTCTAAAAATAAAAATAACTAAAATCTTTAAAAAACAGAAAAAGAAGGTGGGGTCTGGGAGGTCATGGGAGGGCCTGGACTTAGAATTGTGGGTCTTGGAACTCTGGGTGTGATCTCAGGTGAGCGGCCTGGTTGCTTTAAACCCATGTCTTCTGTGAAGTGAGGGCCGGCAGGCTGTGTCCCTGGGCAGATGGCAGCAGGACTCCCAGGGGCATAGAGAGCCCCTCCAAAGAGGGGGGAAAATGAGGCAGCTCCTGTGGTCAAGAATAGGTTTCTCCAGGTCGTCAAATCCATAGTGACAGCGACATTCCAGGGTGGGTATGTTAGGGCTGGGTCGGAGGGCATTGCTGAATGGGGCAGTTCCAAGATGTTCCCACATGCTGGGGACCTGGGTCCCTCCATCTGGATCTGAGCTAGGGTGCACATGATTCCTGTGGTCTGGTGGACAGGTGGGTCTTCCTGTCCCCAGCCTTGGTCCCTCCCCACTGTATTCCAGCCTGGATGGTCTCAGCAGAGGAAGAAACCGAGAATCCGGGATGGAGGGTCAGGGCCAACAGAAGACTCTGATGGAGTTGACCTCTACCTGCTGGGGAGCTGGGCTGGCGAAGGGTTGGCACCTCCCACCTTTGGACCTCCCTGTGGATGTTCTCTCCAGGTTTACATGTTCCTCAAGGCACTGGTGGAGGTAGCAGTTGTCCTGGGGGCAGCAGCTCCCTTAATGGGGGTGTGGGAGGCAGTGATTTCCTCCCAATGGCCTACTGCAGCCCCTGCGCTGGGCCAGGCTGGATGGAGGTCCCACCCCCTCAGTCAGGTTTTCTCCATGACACCCCCTTCCCCCTACCCTCCACTTCAGGACGTGCCCCATGGTGGCCCTGTGGGATTTTTCTCTCTAGGAAGTGGGTCCAGAGGGAGGGTTGGAATGTCTCCCACTCACCAGGTGGGCCCTGTGTGGTGGGAGGAGAAGGGGCCAAGCTCCCACCATGCTGCTCCACCCTAAGTTGGCGTGTGAGCACAAAAGGTATCGGAGGTTTTGTTTTCACTCCAACCAGACTTTGAACGTACGGCCAGTCAAACCCCACTGCGGGTGCACCCCACGCCTGACTGTCCCACGTTGCGGACACTCGGCCCCATGCCTCGGTCTTCCTGTCGACCTGAGGGTATTGGCTTCGAGGGGCTCCATTCACCACACGGGCCGAGTTGCCCCCTCGCCCAGCCCACCACCCATTCCTGCAGCCTTTTAACCTGCCCACTTTGTGGGTCAGGTGCCCCATTGTGCTTCCATTTCACAGACCCAAAGTGAGTGAGTCAACCCAGGCCGTGGGGAAGCCAGGCACAACTGGGTGTCACCCCTCTCTTAGAGGCAGCCAGGCCTGGGGCTGGCCAGGGAGTGTCATAGACACTGCGTGCATTCTGGGGACAGAGTGGGGGTGTCCCAGATAGGCCTGTGGACAGTGCATCTGGGCCACGTCCTACTGAGATGAAGGCCCCTCGCTGATTCTGATTCCGTGCCCCTTTCCCACCTTCACACCCACCGTGTTCCTTCTTTTTCCTTTTGCTTTAGCTCTGGGGCCCCTGCCTTCAATGTATCTCTTGTACCCACAAGACCATACATGTCCTTTCCAACCCTGCACTACTTTGGGGCCCTAATTTTCCCTGAGGTCCTACCCAGTCTCCCCTTCCTGGTGCCCAGGCCTCAGATGGGGAAATATCTTCTCAGCCCCTCACCACCCTGGGGGTAGGCACTGAGGCCTCAGGGGCCTCTCTTGGGGCTGCAAGGACAAGTGGGCTGTGCCCCACTAGGGTGCAGGATGGGTGCCCAGGGCCCTGGCCTGCTGCCCACCCCGCCAGTGCCTCACTTTCCAGTCTTGGAAGCCGCCACATCTGTTTTGGGTGAGATTCCCTAATTAGTTGCTTTGCTATTGGCTCCTAATGAAGACAGTTGGCCAATTGGAGCTAATTAGCCATTTGCCTGGTGATTGCAGGGAGGGGGCGGCTGGCAGTGTTGGGGTGGCCATGAAGGGCAGGTCAGGGAACCCTGATGGGTGAGGGATCACGCTGGGCTGGGAGGACTACCTGGAGGAGCATACTTTGGCCGGGCGATCAAGATGGGGGCAGAGGTGTGGCCGGTGGAGGTGGGGGAGGGAGCAGAAGGTCTGAAAGCCTGGGGAGCCCACTGTCTGGGAAAGATCCCAAGCCAGTCACTAACCCCTTAGTGAGAATTTCCATCTCTATCTGCTGCAAAAGGAGAGTATTTGCATGTCAGGCTAAGGCCCCAATGGAGGAAATGAAGGCTTTGTATTGCTTGCCCCAGGGTACCAGACACCAGGCTCCCTTTGGGGGTTGGCCTCTTCACACAGGCAGGAGCTGAGGTGCTCACCCTGGCTTGATAGCCAACTTGGCAGCGGGAATGCCAACACAGCAAGGCCATTGCTCTTTTAGAGCCAGGAAGGGGGAAAAATGGTCCACCTAAGTAGCCAGAGTTCTGGTAGGGGGTGAGGGGCTTCTCTTGGGACTTGCCTGCCTGCCTGGGGTCCTCTCTTTCCCACATGGGGGCCACTCTTTGCTCCCTAGGACTCTAACACCTTGAATCCTTAGCCTTCGTTTGATCAACCAACATGTGTTAAGTGCCACTCTATATAGGGCCTATGCTAGTCACAGGGAAGGGGCAGAGAAGGAGGCTGACCCCCCTGGTCAGGAGGGCAGACAGTAGACTACGTGGAGGGAGAACTGATGATATTGTAATAATGTATATGATAAAGAGGTAGGGAAAAGCATTCAGGCATAGGAAAGAGCATGTGCAAAGGGCCTGGGTGGGAACAGGAACAGCCAGGAGGCTCGTGTGGCTGGAAGGTAGGCAGAGGGTGATGAGGGTGGGGGTGTTGGGGCTACAGGGGCCTTGTGGGCCTGGGAGGACTGTGGGTTTATTTTATTTTATTTTATTTTATTTTATTTTATTTACTTATTTTTAGAGAGAGGGGAAGGGAGGGAGAGAGAAGGAGAGAAACATCAATATGTGGTTGCCTCTGGTGCACCCCTTACAGGGACCTGGCCCGCAACCCAGGAATGTGCTCTGTCTGGGAATTGGACCAGCAATCCTTTGGTTTGCAGGCCAGCACTCAATCCACTGAGCCACACCAGCCAGGGCAGGACCGTGGGTTTTATTCTGAGCAACGGGGAGGGTTTTGAGCCATTGGATCACAGAGTCTGACTGACATTCAGAAAAGTGAGCCATTGATTTTGGAAAGCCAGAAGACTGACGGACCTGGTGGGGCACAGATGTCCAGCCTCTGAGCCAGCAAAGCATCCTTGGTCTCTGATGCTTCTCAGAAGGTGAAGAGAGAATGATGGTAGCAGCTGGTGCAGGGGAGGCAGGTGTAATGGGGCACACAGGCAGAGGTGGAGGGGGAAGAGGGGACCATGCTGTGGCCCCACCTTTCTGAGTCCATTGTGGTCTCAAGAAAGCCCTGTAGAGAGCCAGGCTCTCAGTGGGGTTTTCAGTGGGGCTGGGAAGGAGCAAAAATGACTTTTCAAAAAGCCTGGAATACTCCCTGCATCCATCAAGCCTAAGGGGCTGGAGGATATTGGCCATCACTGAGACACCCATGCCTGGCCAATCTTGGGCAGCTTGAGGGGTGGACAGAGTGGAAGGCTGACCCTGGTCCCAGCCTGACCCTCACTTCCTGAGTCTCATTTCCAGACACATTAATTCTACAAAAAAACAAACAAACAAACCCTCCTACCTCTTCGGGGGTGGGATGAGCTCACCATCCCTGGATAAACCCAACAGAATGGAAAGGGGCTGGGGGAGAACCTGCTCCCTTCAGGTCCCAGAACTGAAATTCTGTGTGCCTTGATCTTAGCTACAGACTCAAAAGCACTGCTGTAGTGATGGATAGGAAGATGGGCACAAGTGAGCAGGGTCTTCTGCTCATCTCATTCCCACTTTTGCTGGTCCCAGGGGTCCTGGTGCAGCATCTCTGGGGCAGCAGGGGGCCAGCCTCTGACATCTGGTAATCCCTCCCCCCCTCAGGTGCCGGCTGTGCCAATTAGTGCTCCCGGCATGGGGACCCTCCGAGCTCCCTCCCATGGGCTGAGGCTGCTAGCAGTGTGGGTACAGAGGCAGCGGCAAGGCTGGGATCCCAGCAGCCTGTGCCCTCCCTGCCACCCACTCTGGCGGGGTCTCAGTTTCCCTGCCTGTACAGGGAGGGAGGAGAATACAGGGGCAGCATGGCAGAGCCTACTCTGCAAGCCTGGATGGTTAGGCCTTTTATGTGCTAATAAGCCCCTCTGGGGAGGCCCCCCTTGTCCCCCCTCGGTCCAGGCCGCATTAACAAGACAGGGACCCCGGAGACCATGTCCAGAAGATCTAAAGGCTCCTGGCGCTGTAACCCGAGGCGGTGATGGAAGGGGAGCTGCCAGCTGACCTCCATCCTCCCAAAACAAGGCTGGGTCAGGGCTCCCCCAGGAAGGGGCTCAGCTGCGTGACAGTCTAAAGGAAACTCCCTGGTAAAGGCTGGGAGTCAGGGCTAAGGCGGGGGTGGGCGGGGGGATGTGGTGGAGTGGCCAAGAGCTTAGGGGGCAGCTGCCAGATTCCTGAGGCTGCCGAGGAAGGACAGCAAGGGGAACTCACTGGGGTCACACAGGACAAAAGGGGTGGGGCTGCGGTTGAACACAGGACACTGAGCGAGAACGAGGGAGTGACTGAGGCGTTCTTCTTTTGGAGCCTTGTCAATTGCTGGGGAAAGGGTAGTGGAGGCAGACCTTGACTCAGAGGCTGGAATCCGGGCGTTTGTCCCTGCGCTGCCACCTTGGGCCTTCCTGGCAGGCGGATCTGCAGAAGGAAAGCTAAGGAGGCTGTATGTGATGGGCAGGATAAGGGACTGTCTGGAGGTGGGGACGCAGAAGTCAAGCTGTAATAATGTTTCTGGAGAAGGGATACCTGGTGGGGGAACAGCTTGTGCGAAGCCTGTTGGCCTAAAAGGGGCCCAGATGTTGGGCCTGGGGGTAGGGAGGTGTCTCGGAATCACGTGGTACCAGTCGTTTGCATGTTACCCAGAGTACCTCGTGGCAATCACTGCTTTCTAGCTCCAATCGTGTTTGGGGCCGGAGGCTCAGGTGCTTACCAGCTGACCATTCTGCTGAGCCTGCGACTTGGGGGTGGTGGTAAGTGCCAGGCACAGGACCGTGGGCTCTCACCCTCGAATCTCTCTTAGCATCCCCCCAGCAGTCTCCTAAAACCGCCCTCCGCCATGTGCTGACCACGCCCCCACATAGACCCTGCCCCCTCACGTTTTCCATCCCTTACCCCGCCCCGCTCTGGCCCTTCCTCTTACACTTCTCGTCCCTGGACCTGGCTCCCTCCTCGACATCTGGCTCCGCCCCCGAGTGGGCTCGGCTCTGCGCTGACCGCCGGTCCCTCTTCCAGGTTTCATGTGGGTGCAAAGGACGACAGTGGGGGTTACACGGTGGAGGTGAGCATCAACGACTACCTGGACATCTACTGCCCACACTACGGGACCCCGCTGCCACCGGTCGAGCGCATGGAACACTACGTGCTGTACATGGTCAATGGCGAGGGCCACGCCTCCTGTGACCACCGGCAGCGCGGCTTCAAGCGCTGGGAGTGCAACCAGCCCGCGGCGCCCGGGGGACCGCTCAAGTTCTCTGAGAAATTCCAGCTCTTCACGCCTTTCTCGCTGGGGTTCGAGTTCCGCCCGGGCCACGAGTACTACTACATCTGTGAGTGGGCGGGTGGGGCCAAGAAATGAGGAGGCGGGGGGCGGGGGCCGATGCTAGGGCCCGGTTCTGTCCGGCACCTTGTCCAGCGCTGGCCTCTGTCCCCAGGTCAGCCTCTTGGGTGTTCTTATTATCCACCTAGCAGACCTCGGAAACCCCACTGTCAGAGTCCCCATTTTGCAGGTGGGGAAACTGAGGCTCAGAGGGGCTGAAGCCACACATACGATCTCAGCTTCAGGATCAGCCACTGGACCTCTTCACTGGGGGGCCGATGGCCTCACTGTCAGCCTGTCCCACACTTAGACCAGGGCTGCCTTCGCCCCACAGCACTGAGGGAGGAAAACTAGGCACACGGAGTCTGGCGGTAGAGAGGAACTGGTCAGAGCCAGGGGAGAGGCCAGAGCCCTTGTTCTGCCCAGCACCTCCTGGCCTGGGTAGGGGTCTCCTGGGCCCTATCCTCGCCACGCCACCCCCCCCCACCCCCCCGCTGCTGCAGGGAAGGGACCCAGCTCTTCAACATTCTGGCTCCTGCTGTATCAAATTCAACTCCACAAGGTTTTAAAAAACTTAAAAACTCCATTTCCTCCTTTTTTGCCCTATTTGGATTTTTTCCTTTTAATTCAGGAAAGCAGGGGGTGAGGGTAGAGGGAGAAGGTGTTTAAGTCTTGTAATATAAGAAAAGTTATATATTTTTTTCTGAGATGGGAGTTTCATATAGTTATTGTAATTAGCTGTCTTGTCTCAGTGACAAATGTAATTTTTTTGCCTGCCCTTTATTTTCATCTCCCAAAGTGAGGGGCTGCTGGGGGTGGAGCAGAGGTGGCAGCCAAAGACAGAGGACAGGCCGAGAGGATAGGTGGGGACAGGCCTGGCTGCAGCTCTGCAGCGGCCCACACCTGTCTACAGGTGTGCGCTGCCGGTGCCGGCCACCTCCCTCTGATTCACCACTGAGCTGCGGCACCACCCCTGCTCCCCTCCAGGGCCCTTGTCAGTTGGCCAGGAAGCAAGGAGCAATAGTGATGGCATCTTAGGCATGAGGACCCAATGTGCTTCTATGTTCATGTGACCTCTGCCGTGTGGCTTCCTGCAGGAGAGGGGGAACCCACCTCCATCCCGGGGTAACTGGCTTCTGCTGTCTCCCAGATGGAAAGAATTATTTCCCAAGTACCTACGGTGTGCCAGCCAAGACCCAGACAGGGAGTGACTTGCTGACAGGCATCCAGAGAGCAGGGATTTGATCCTGTGATGATCATTTGGTTACATGGAGTTTTGAGTATCAGTTAAAAGTAAACGTATTTTTATCTATCACCTTTCAACCTTGCTCTGTGCTGCTCTGGGGTAAGATGGAGCTAGACGCAGATACCCCCCATTTCTGAGGTTAGGGTTCAGCAGAAGGAGAGGGTCAGGGGACAGGTGGAGGAGGGGGTCACAGCACCAGGTTGTCCTGGACACCAAGAGCCTCTCACTCCCAACTCCTCTCTTCCAGCTGCCACGCCTCCCCACGCCGTGGACACGCCCTGCCTGCGGCTGAAGGTTTATGTGCGGCCAACCAGTAAGTATCAAGGGAGTCGGGCAGGTCCAGGCCCCGACACTTGTGTCCTCACTGAGGACCCTCTGAGCCGTCAGGGGAGTCAGGGGATGGTCACAGCACAGCTTGGGGAGTCCGACAACCCCAGCAATGGCAGGCTCACTCTTGAGCCTCAGTTTTCCATCTGCAAATTGGAACATTTCAGGCCTTCACAAGTGAAGACTGAAGCCTATCACGAGGCCCCTCGCTGAGGCTATGGTCCCTGGGGTGTGGGCATCAGGGAAGTTTCCTGAGACTGGACCAAAGAGCCTACGTTCTAAGCTCTTGAAACACCATAGCCACACCCAGAGACAAAGGCGCTCCTACAGCCTTGAGACTTCCCCCAAGGGCCAGGGACACATTAGTTGGGTGCCAGATATTCATTCACCTGGATGTACAACGGAGGCACAGCCCTAGTCAAGGTAGACAGAAACCTCGGTGCCCCACGGGGCAGCTGAGGCTGAGACATTTAATGATGGTCAGGCCAGGATAAGCTCTAGGAAGCAGTGAGAAACAGATGGGGCAGGGGTCTGGGCCACCGCTGACCATCCTGTCTCCGTGTCCCCCAGATGAGACCCTGTACGAGGCTCCTGAGCCCATCTTCACCAGCAATAATTCATGCAGTAACCTGGGCAGCTGCCAGCTCTTCCTCAGCACCGTCCCAGTGCTCTGGACCCTCTTGGGCTCCTAGTCCTGGCCTGCAAGACACCAGCCCCACCTGGACGACCGCATCCAAGACCAAATAGAGACACCTAGCTCTCCCACAACTGGTGCTGCCCCGCTTGCAGAGGCCTGCCCACTGGCCTTAGGATGGACTCCAGGGGCAGGGGGCAACCAGCTGCCCCAGATGCCCGAAGGGCAGTATGTGAGCTCAGCTCCTGGCTAGGCCATCTCATCAGGGACCCTGGAGAACCTGAGAAACTGTCAGTGATATTGGGGGTTTTTGTTTCTTTTTCATGGTTAGATAAGAAAGACTTGAGTTTTTAATTTAATTTATTCCTTGCTGTTGCCAGTGACTTTGGGAAGGAAACAGAATGGATGAGGTGGAGGTCCTTAGCCCCCTGGGGGATGGGGATGGGAATCCCTAGTCTGGTTACTCCATTTGTTGGATCTTGGCTGAAGGCCACCACAGACCCCACAGTTACCCCAGGACAGGCCAGTACGAGGCAGAGGGGCAAGGTGAGACCCCTCACCTCTGAGCCCACCTCAGACTCCCGTCCCCCCAGTCCCAACCCCACCCTCCTCATGCCTGGTGGTCATCACCCAGAGTGGAAACTCACGCCGTTACATCAGAGGCCACTGCGCAGCCCGGCCCCCTTGGAATCACAGTTCTCCACGCTGTCCCACAGCCTCTCACGGTCGGTCACCCCTGCGTTCGAGAAGACGTTACGTATCTGTAAATAGAGCCAGCAAGTATATACTGTGATTTATTTTTACTGTATTCCTGAGGACGAACTGGACAGGTGGTTGTTTTGTTTTGGTCACACCTTCATGGGGGGGGGGTGTCTTTTATTTTGGTGGGGGCGGGGTGGACTTTTTAGAATAGAAGCTGCACTTTGCAATAAGCTTGTTCGTCTGTCGGAGCCCCCTCCTCTACTCCATGACTAGTGACGTTTATAAGAAAAAAGAAGACGGGACACAACAAAATGTGGGGTGGGAGCGCCACCAAAAAGAGGAAGTGGCCTCCCAAAGACACTTTAATGAAACAAACAGCACATTTATACAGATTTCATATTTCTACCCTCCTTTCCTGATCTGTGTTTTATATATATTATATATAAATATATATGGTGCACAGCTGCCGGGAGACCACCAGGCATGCCAGCTGGGGGGGCTTTTGTAGGGGTTGGCATGGGCGGTGGTGTCGCCACACCTGGAGCTGGTGATGGCACCTCCCCCTTCCCATCACAATCAACGTTGGATTCTGTATTTTTTATAATAAAATGAGCATAAACTTGTAGGGTGTGCATCTGTGTGAGGGGCTTGTGACTCTCATTGGAGGAGTGCTTTGAGCTACTAATTTGGGAGTCAGGTGCCTGCTAGGGAGGGGTGTCCCTAGAGGGACATCTGGGGATGAACATGATTGGCTCTTTAGTTCTCTCCATCTTTTGGGGGCCAGGCTCTGGAATAAACATTTTACAGGGCAGTGTAACCTTCCTTGTCACCCACAGGCCTCAGTTTTCCCCTTCTGAGAAATGGGAATGGACCAAACCCCCTGTGCCATAGGGGTCCCCTGGGAGGATGGGCTGGCATTTCCCCTGGGCTGGCACTGAGTACGCAGCAGGAGTTTATTAAGTGTCCCTCTGAGCACATGACAGGTCTCTTAGGAACCAAATTCTGTGACATTTCCATTGCCAAGCTCGGCTGCTGCATGACTTAGTTTCCCTGACTGCCCCAGGCCAGGGCAGGAGGCGGGGTTGTGTCTGTCATCTCCGAATCCCTTTCCTGTTATGCAAAAGGCATATGTCAGTGGGTTGCAGGTTCCAGGAGCCTTCACCCCAGTGTAGCCACTCCAGGTGGAAGCACAGAGAGGCCGGGGGCACCCAGTAGGCCTGAGGTCTTAGAGGCTGCTCCTCTGGGGTCTGAGAGGCTGCTCCTGCCTTGGTTTCACCCCCTGGGACTGCAGTGTCTTGGGCACAATTTGCCGAGAGGGAAGGCTCTCTGCTAATGAATTTGGCCTTGGCGGTGCAGGGCTTAGCGACAGGGGCTGCCTCTTAATGAGGCCAGCCAACAGCACAAAGACCCCTGTGTGTCCCCACCCGCCCCTGCCCAGTGGCAGGGGGTGGAGTGTGCACGCATGTGCTGAGCTCCATGAGGGAGACCAGGGTCCCCCCTCAATGGTGAAGACCCTGAAGCTTAGAGAGGGTGGAGGCCTCCCTGAGAGCCCTTGCTCAAACTCCCACTCAGCCACGGGGTCAGAGGGAGCTAGAAGGAGAGAATTAAATGCAGGGATAATGGGACTGAATCTTGGCCACTCACTTTGATTTTGTTATTTAAAAAAAAGGAAAAAAAAATGAGTTATAATTCACATACCACACCATCCATCTATTTTAAGTACAATTCCACAATTTTTAATACATTCACAGGGTTGTACAATAAGCACCTCTATCCAATTTCAGAACCTTCCATAACCCCCAAAAGAGACCTGTCCCCATCCACAGTCACCCCTGGCCTCTGCCAACCACGAAGCCACTTCCTGTCTCTGTCCTGGACATTTCACATCAATGGAATCACACAGAGAAGCCTTTTGTGTCTGGCTTCTCTTACCAAGCATTGTGTGTTCAGGGTCCATCCACGCTGTCGTGAGTGTCAGTGCTTCAGCCTTTTCATGGCTGAGTAATATTCCAGTGTGTGGATGGACACATGTTTATCTGTTCATCTGCTGAAGTATTTTCGAGTTGGTTTCACCTTTTAGCTATTATGAAGGTTTTAAATTATTAGTTTTGTTTTAAACAAATAACATAACATAGTGTTAAATTTAAGGTGTACATGTTGATGTGATACGTTTATATATTGTGATACGATAACCGCTTATTATTTTTGAGACAGTTTTAGCATAAAAAGTGACCTTAAATGGGTAAATACAGAAATAACTCTGTTCCTGCCCCAGGGCCTTGGCACACGCTGTGCTCCCTGCCTGGCACATCACTGCCCAGCTCTCGGCTCCTTTAGACCAGGTGGGATGTCACCTCTTGACCTCCCTAGCCAAGTGGCCATACCATGGCCCTAGCTGTCAAACCTCTGATTCTTTATTTGTCTGTCGCCCTCACTGGCTGGGAGCTCCCAGAGGTTAGGGGCCCTGTCTGTTGGGGCATCCCTGGGACCCAGTGCCTGGCTCAGTTTCTCCTCAGACTTGTCATTTGCCACATGTGTAAACACACACACACACACGTGTTGCACAGCCGCAGGCACCATGTACCGCCAGAAGCGTTTGGGGCCCTGGTCTTTTTGAAACCACTCCTGTTCCTCAGTGGCCACTGGTCACTCTCTCAGGGGCCACCATAAACATGCAGAGGGGCCACTCCCCAGGCTGCATTGTACAGAGCTGGGGAGCTCTGCTGCAGCTGACACCCAGAGGCCACCTGAGGTCCCCAGGTGGCAATTGGTATGGGGCTGTTGGTATGTGGTTCCCCGTGAGGAACCCCTTCTAGCCCAGAGGTTCCAGAAGGAGGTGATTTCCTCCTCTTCATCTCGGTGCCCCACCTCGGGCAGGGGTTCCAGGAAGCAGGCAGGGGAGTCCAGCGTTCCTCCTGCCCTTCTGGGTGCTCCGGTGGAGCCGTGGCTCCCCCCCGCCCCTGGGCCCCCTCAGTTTCTCGGTCACCTTAGTGTGTGGAGCAACAAGCCCCTTACTCCCAGGACGGGCCCCCACAGCCTCTTCTCCATTCATTTCCTTCTCTGGGCCCCGGTGTCCCATCTACATCCCTGGGTCCCGCCCTCAGATCCCCCTGCTGTGGCCATGAAGGAGGGGCTTTTAGGGGTAGGATCGAGCCCCTCGACTATAGCCACAGAGCTGGAAGCCCCCATGCCTCCCTGAACACACACTCGGAGGAAAGGCCGCAGTCCCAGCAGCCCCAGGGTTTGGCCCTTCTCCAGTTCTCCCACCCTTTCCTCCCAACACCCTCTACTCACTCAGGGGCTCCCACCTCTCAGGTCTTTGCTCCTGCTCTTCCCCCGTCCTGGTACACCCTCCACTCCTTTTGGCTTTCCTGAAACGCTGCTCCTCAGACCCTTCTGAACTCCTTCCTTGCCTCCTCCATGGTTTTCTTCTCTGGCATTTATTCATCAGCCCTCAGGCATGCCCTATTTGTCTTTATTCAATTTCTTGTCTGTCTTCTCTAGATGGTCAGCTACCCAAGGGTGGGAGTTTTTATCTGTCACTGCTATGTCCCTAGTTCCTAGCATGTGTCTAGTATACTGTAGGTGCTCACTAAATGCTTGAATGAATAAACATATATATTTATATGGAAGCTGCATGGTCAGAAAAGAGAGCATAACACAGGAATTGCATTTCCTGCCCTGGCTGGTGTGACTCAGTGGGTTGAATGCTGGCCAGCGAACCAAAAGATTGCTGGTTCGATTCCCAGTCAGGGCACATGCCTGGGTTGCAGGCCAGGTCCCCAGGAGGGGGTGCCCAAGAGGCAACCACACATTGATGTTTCCTTCTCTCCCTCCCTTCCCCCTCTCTAAAAATAAGTAAATAAAATCTAAAACATACAAACAAACAAACAATTGCGTTTCCTGTGTCAACGTCAGCACCCTGGCAAGCATTTAGTGAGCACCTACTATGTGCCGTAGGTGCTGGGCCCTCCCTTAGTCTGTGATGTCAGGGTAAGGATGGTGAAGCCTGTCCCAGTGGCCTCCAAATACCATATTTGGGGGCCTTATATTCCATAGGAAGATGCCACAGTGTTAGGGGCCCTGGTCCAGGTTGCAGGTGGTTGGGTGGCTACTCATGAACAAATAAAAGGGGAATTTACAGCCCAGAGCCCCTGAGGAGCCATAACTCACCACAAGATGACACACAAGCCAGAAATTAAGTGGCTGCAGCTCGGCTGGTGTGGTTGATGGGGCAGAGACCATGGTTGGCGGGGCAGGAGCCCCGCTTCCCTTCTGTCTCTGCTCACAGCTGATGGGCTGGCCGGGTCATTACTAGAACCATACACGTGATGATCATTAGGGCTGAGTCCAGACCCAGGTGTGGACGGGCGAGGCGGTGCCTCGAATCCTGAGCTTAGGGCAGGTGGCAGGACCAGTAGGGCACAGAGACCAGACAGAAAGCCAATGCAGGTATGTCTGTCTTCCCTCCATCTTCACGGAGGCTGGGAGGGAGGAGAGGCCTAGAAGTTGGAGCAGAGGAGGTGGGCAGGGGTGGATGAGAGGCTTTGGGGCAGGACTGTAGGCCAAGGAGGAGGAGTGGACTGCAAATCTGAGGCTGCTGAGCCTGAGGACCGCGGCTGCCTCCCACCAGGAATCATCCAGGAGGGCACTGGACTTTCTGTCCCTCTCTGCTCTGTTGTGGAATGATGGAGCACAATCCTGCTGGCATTGCTGTTTCCCTGCTCTATGGCTGAAGCCAGAGAGAGGGAGAGACTCCCAGGGACCACCCACCTGACAGCCCCCGACACTCCCCCCTCATCGATCCGGAAATGGAGGTTGAGAAGTCCAAAGATAATCAATGGGTCCTAATGGACAGTGCAGTCCGTGGTGGGCACTGAGCAGTGAAGGAGACCCCTCTCCTGTGCAGGTGGGAAACCTGAGGCCCCACCAGGCATTCAGGTGAATGTATGTGTGAGTCCAGTGTGAATCTAGGTTTTGGTGGGATCAAGAATTTAATCTGAGCAGGGCCTCAGGCAGCCTCAGGGGCACAAGACTAGTCCCCCCCACAGCAGCCAGGGGGCCTAGATTCAGGGACCCAGGCTTCATGCTCCTCCTCCAGGAAACGTTCATTCAGCCTGCCAGGCTGTGCTAGGGACCCCGGGCTGCCCTCTCCTGGAAGCTCCTACTCAACTTATGCATAGGGTCTGGGGGATATAGGAGCTGCTGCAGATTGGGGTCCAGACTCCCACAGGCTGCTGCATGGTTCCCTCTCTAGGTGTGGGGGCCACCGCACCTGACTCTTGGAGTGAGGAAAGCTTCTAGGAAAGTTGTTTCCACAGACTCTCCAGCCAGGCCCCTCTGGAGCTCTAGCTCCCAAGGGTACATTGATGGAGCGCAGAGAGGTGGAGGAAGGTAAGGGGGCGGTTACTAAGGATGGCACTTACCTGAGCCCCCCAGCCTCCAAGTCACCCCCATCCCCCCGTTTCCACCCTTATTTTCATGATTAACTTCTGACACCAGCAAGGAGTTGCCCCTTTAACAAAACGGGGACTGAGGCAGGCAGGCAGGCGTCAGGCATGTGGTCCCAGCAGGGAAGGGAGTCCTGGGAAGGAAGAGGAGGCAAGAGGCAGTTGTTCTGGCC